GTCATAAATGGTATAAATTAACTATACTGATTATCCTAAACGTAAAGCATATAATGAACGTTATCCTATACAATTTGATGAAAATGGAAAAGCTGTTAAACAATACATTGGAGAAGGTGAAAATGGTCCAATTAATTCATACCGTCATAATCCATATTCTTATTTCAATGAAGAATTAAATGCTATTGAAGAGGGACCGGATGGATTACCACGATATTTAATCAGTTTGATGGTCAATATGCAAATATTAGACCTGAAATTCCAGCTAAGAAATTCTTTAAAGTTGCTTTATTCGATCCAGTGTTCAATGAACAGAAAGAAGCAATGAAAGCAGAATTTAAACCAATTCAAGTGGCAAGAATTTCTTCATCTTCACTTTCAGAAGCGTTCAAGGAATTGATAAAGAAACCACTTTATTCTCAACAAGGTTATAACTTTGATTTAATTAAAGAAAGTGATAGACGTAAATTAGAAAAATCAGATGGTTTTAAGAATGCATGTAATGAAATGATTAAAGATATTGTAAATGATAAAATAAGACTGGAAGAAACTCAAAGCAATATCAATAACATAATTGGTGCAGTTACAAAGAAAGTATAAGCAAACAATGATGAACCTTGGGATATTACCGTAACAACTAAATAAAACTTTAAATATATTTTTCTTTTTTTTATTCAATTATAAATGAGAAGACGTTTCACAAGTCAAAAGAACACTAACGCAAAAGCAGAGATTACGGTTGGTTATAACGTAAATGATGATAAATCACGAATTATTCAAAATGTTAAAGTTAATGTTAGCCCTGAATTAACTCGTGACTTACCGAAAAAGGAGGAGGAGCAAAATAAAGAAGATGGAGACCCAATCATTTTATCTGAACCCGGTAAAGAACCTGTTGAAATTCCCACTTATCCAACATACCCCCCGCCTCTTTCATCAAACATCGAGAACCCAGGAATCTACGATTCCAGTCGCAATGCGCCATATAAAATAGACATTAATTCTGAATTAATGAAAATTTACCGTGATATAATAATTAATAATTATGATTCAATAATAAATTTAATTGACCAATCTGGTTTAATTATTTTACCTTATGAATCATTAATTCACATTATCGCCATTCTTTGTGATGTTCAAGATTCAGACGTTAAGATTCAATTTTTCATAGATGATGAGGTTTCATGCTGCGGAACAGTTGCAAAAATAAATCCTATAAAGGATATTAGCACAATTAAGATATCAAAGAACGGAACAACAACTGAACTTCATTTAACATATAATGATATTTATAATAAAATAGTTGATGAATATAAAATATCACTTGAAAAATTCTTTGTTAAGGCTATTTAATATTCAAGCATTAACATTATCGAATAATAATCCTTTGAATCATAATCAATAATAATTGACCTTTCACCAGTTTCTATCGTTTGTTTTATTTCTTTTTGTTCCCCACTATCGGATCGGTCATTGTAATTGTTTTTGTTATAGTATCAGCTTTATCTTTAACTTCAATCTTTTTTCCATCGGGATATTTAAACCAAAATTCCAAAAATTCGATATTGTCAATCTGTTCATATTTTAATCTATCAATTACATTTTTAATACCATCTGAAAATCTTATGAAATGGTCATTATATGGGTTTGATTGAACTAAATTTGAATGAAGTGAAATATAACCCGTTGATGAATATGACATTGACTCATATTTTCTGAAAACACTAAAATTTATAACATGAATGAATTTCTTATTCGTTGAATTTATGAATTCTTGAGGTAATCTTATTCTAGTTTTATTTATCACTGGAAAATAACGCTTTACCATATTTTTAATCGTAATAAAAATGTCAATTATCAATATTATTTCGAATAATAGCTGTGAATTAAATTTAACAGTTAGCGGAATTTATAATGTTACTCTCGTTTCTGTGAGTGGTAAATTTAATCCCATTCTTTTAGACCCTTCAGATTATATATCATTTATTAAAGATGACCATGAAAAAACGTATGATATGTATATAAATAATGTGATAACGAAATGGGATATTAACATGATTTTAAGTTATTTAAATGAATCATTTATCGTATGGTATGAAGAAAATTTTAAATCAAAACCGATAAACTTTTTGAACTTGATGAAATAAATAACCTTATTAAATTCCGCTGAAAATTAAATTTTGTACTCCTCATCTTCGTTCATTGTTGGGGATATTAAATTTTGAAAAAGATGTTGGGGATGTTTTGTATTCTGACACTGGTTCCAATTTCATTTTAATCAAATGTGATAAAGTTAATACCCCAATGAGATTTTCACATCAAACATTAGACCCTAACTCTTACCCATCAATACAAAACATTTTATCCATCAACTTAAACACATTTTCTTTATCATATCCGTTTCAATTATCCGGGAATTCATTTATTCTTCATTCAAAAGATTTATCAAATATTAAATTTAGAATAACTGACCTATTTGATTGTGATTTAGAATTCATGAATGAAATATTATGGCAATTTCAAATAGAAAAAATAGCTGATGAGATAACAGATTAAATATTTATTTTTAAATCATAATAAATGATTAAACAACAGCAACCACAGCAACTTAAGGCACAAAGCACCCAGGTCCCTCAGACCATTACATACGCCATATATGCATATAATTCAAAGACGGCAGAACAAACGCAAAGGTTGAAATATGGAGATTTGGAGATAGTATTGAAAAATGACCATTTCGAATTCGTTTGCAAGGGTGGTGCAGTGATATCAAATATAAAAGAAATTTTATTTATGAATTCTAAAATTAAAGGTATAACGGATGATATAACATCAATTCCACCAGAAGAACAGAGATATTACGCATTAAATGCATTTCCTAAAGTTTTGAAGATTGGAAGATTTAATTTAAATGAGGAATTCATAGAAGGTTTCCTAAATGACATAATGAAGAAGGCAAATTTGGTTTACGTTGATGAAAAAGATAAAGAAATTAAAGAAAAGGTTGAATGGTATCATGAATGGACATCAAAGATTTTTAAAACTAAAGCTGATACAGGATGGGTTTCAGGATGTTTAGACCTTAAAGCGGATAAAACTTATGTTAACGATGAGTTAGAGAAGAAGGTGGATAAGGAATATGTGGCTAGTGAATTAAATAAGAAGGCAAATTTGGTTTACGTTGATGAAAAAGATAAAGAAATTAAAGAAAAGGTTGAATGGTATCATGAATGGACATCAAAGATTTTTAAAACTAAAGCTGATACAGGATGGGTTTCAGGATGTTTAGACCTTAAAGCGGATAAAACTTATGTTAACGATGAGTTAGAGAAGAAGGTGGATAAAACATATGTTAACGAAATATACCAAAGTTTGATAGGAACAACGAAAAATATTGAAACTATTGTTGGTGACTTTTCTATCTATGAAGAAAACAAATATTTTAGATGGGAGTTTGTACACTCCTTAAAAAATGGTATACGGTATAAACTCATTCCGAAAAATAACAATGAAATGTATGTAGGCTATATAAAGAATAATGGTACACAAGTTAAAGTTCCATTAGACAACAACTGTTACTTAAACTTATATGGAGACGAACAAAAGAAATATTTAAGAGTTTATGAAATGGCAGATATGACATTGCCTGACCCAGCTCCAGCACCATATTATTATGACTATGGAGATGATGTCAGAACACCACATGTAGATGAACAAAAGCTAACATTATATTTAGATTATTATAGATATAAAAGATATAATGCAATAGAAAAAACGAGAATAGTATATTATTATACAGATGACAGAAATAAATATTATAGTCAAGATTTTACCTACCCTGAAAACATAAGATTATATTATAAAAAATATTCTGACACAAACCAGAAGAAACCAGAAATAGTTGCACTATATTTTAAGTTCAAAAGAGACAATCCTATAATATCGCATATGTTTAATTTAATGAACCCAGTAGGTTCTATTTATACATCAATGGATGCATGAGGTCCTCAAGTAATGTTTGGTGTTGGTGCATGGGAACAAATAGTTGACAGGTTTTTGTATTGTGCAAACTCTTCAAAGGAAACAGGAGGTTCGAAGAAAATTACTGAAGCAAACCTTCCACCGCACACTCATACGGGAACTACAAACACAACAGGTAATCATTCACATTCAATAACAAAAAGAGGTTATAGAAATCTTGCAGCAGGTTCGGATAGACAGGGAATGGATAGATATGATATTTCAAGCGACCCAGTAGATTCAAGCGCAGGTATTTTCTGTGGAACCACAGGAAATCATTCACACACTTTCACAACAAATCCAACAGGCTCGGGTAAAGATTACATGCCACCATTTGTGACTGTATTCGCATGGTACCGCATTTATTGAATGTGCTTGAGCCTACTTTGCAGGCTTACCGCGTTCATTGAATGAACTAAATATATTTTATGTTTGTAATTAATTAGGTAATGAAGTAATGAATGAACTGCAGAAATAAATGTTTACGTTAATGTTTACAGGTTATTCAATAATGAATTATTTTTGAAGAACTGAAGGTGCTACCATGTTACCATGTGCTACCAGGTCATTTAACTTCTTTTAAAAAATGAGACAACATGACATTTAGACAACAACACAGGAGGAAGGCAGTTATGAATTATTTTTGAAGAACTGAAGGTGCTACCATGTTACCATGTGCTACCAGGTCATTTAACTTCTTTTAAAAAATGAGACAACATGACATTTAGACAACAACACAGGAGGAAGGCAGTTATGAATTATTTTTGAAGAACTGAAGGTGCTACCATGTTACCATGTTGACGACATGACATTATGTCAACAACATAGGAGGAAGGCAATAATGAATTATTTTTGAAGAACTGAAGGTGCTACCATGTTACCATGTGCTACCAGGTCATTTAACTTCTCTGAAAAAGTGTGACAACATGACATTTTGACAACAACACAGGAGGAAGGCAAAAATAAATTCCAATCATACTTTATAAAGCTTCATTTACAGGTATTTCATCGTCAGTAAATGAATCATCATTATCGTTTGGTTCAACCTGTTTATATAATCCTTTCATTTCTTCTTTCAAAACATAACACCATGTTTGTTTACCGTCTATTCTTCTATGTTTCCTATCACATTTATCCTTAATACTCATTTGGAAATTCTTGTCTTTCATGTCTGATGGTTTGCAGAATAAAGCATTTTCACACGTCATACCTGCACACAATTCATCATAATGTGTATTTATCCATACATCTAAAGGATTTGTTGATAATTCAATTAAATCTTGTTTGGCTTCAGTCATCGGTATGATTCGTACATTAAATGATGAAAGGTCGTAATTGATAAAATACGTCAGCAAATTATCATAAAATTCCTTTGTGCATGAATCCATTAAATTCTTGAAGTAATCAAATTGACCCTTGAATTTACCATTAACCCTTAAAACTACGTATCTTCTGTCTCCAACTTCAATTTTGACAGGGTAGACGTTGTTAGTTACGAAAATGAAGTTTGCAACGTTCTGTGCTGTTCTTCTGGGTTGATTCTTTTCATTAATTCTAATCTCATTATCCGTAATAATTGATTTCAAAGCGTTGAAGTTTGCGAGTCTATCTTCACCAACATTCTTGAGTTCATTAAGTACAAGAAACATTTTATTTTCAACAACCGAATTGAAATTACCCGTTAGCTCACTTATTTCAGTAATGTTTTTACATGAATAACCAGCGAGAAGTTCAGAAATAATATCTGTAAATCTGTTTTTACCTGTTCCCTGAAGTCCTTTCAAAATAATTGCTGTTTCATTCTTGATTCCAGGATGTTGAATCATTGATGCAATCCAGCCGAGTAGGTATTTATACACTTCATCGTTATTATCACAAATGGCTTCTTTAATGAAATTCATAAACATCTCAATTTTTGAGTAATCAGGCTTTTCAAGAATGTTGTATTTATAACCCTGAAACGTTGAGAAAACATCTGGGGAATCAGATTTAAAGCAAACACCCTTAACGGTTAATGAAGACAATTGATTTAGTAGTACATCCCATGCTGTTATTGTTTTACCTTCTTCTTTAAATAATTTAATCATTTTGAGTGACTCTTTCATGTTTGACTGAAGAACAAATGATATTTGATTCATTTTGTCGTGTATGTTGTAATCTTTCTGAATGAAGTATTTGTTTCCACAATCTACAAAACGGATTACACGTGATAAATCCTCAATTACTTCAGAACTGTTTTTATACTGATGATTTTCAGCCTTGCGTCTAATATCTGTTATCAAAAACGAGTCATCAAGTTTGATATCAAATGTTATTTTTGGCTTACGTAATAAAGGCAAAACGTATTCATCATAATATTCCTTTTGATATAGTTTTAGAATCTTCACTAAAACAAATGGAGAAGTCATTAAATGTGCATATCTACTACGTGCTTTTTCAAAATTACTTTTTGCATTTTCAGTTAAATTGCAGAAGTTATAAACGTTATCGTATGCTTCATTAATTAAATGATTAGGTAACGAATTAATAGCTTGAAACAGTGTGAATAATGTTATTTCTTTTTCTAAATTCATGTTTCCACCGTCATTATGTACTTCAAAATCACAGATGCCATCAACTATGCTTTGAGCTAGTTTATCGTCAATGTTTACATCTTTGTTTTCATTCATTATACTCTTTATTTCTTCATTCTTCTGTTCAACTCTTACCTTAATATTCAAATCATTTAATATATCATTCACTGTTCTGGTTAATGTTGAATCATAACTTCCACGAATGAATGAGTATGTATTGATTGGTTCTGTTGCATTCTTGCGAACTCTTGATTCAGCCATGACTACTAATGAACGCTTTGAATCATCAATAGAAGTCATTATGTCAATATCATAATCATTGCAGGAATAACATTTAATCATTCTGTTCGAAACTGCATAGAAGAAATTAGTGTTGCAATAAATGTGAAGACCTCCTGAAGCGGTTTTAACGATAACATCTTTATCCGAAAGTTTTGATAAAATGTCTTTTCTAACTGTTTCTTTAAGTTCATCATTGTACGATTTATTGATATCAACATCTATAATCGTTAAATTTGAAATTTTATTTACTAATAAAGCCATACCAGTTTTCCTTCCTCTTCCTCCATCATGTTTGAGGTAGTTATGTAAATCAATCTTGTTTTCACCAATTCTTTCGTTGAGGGTTTTAGTTTCTGCCACAACTAATTCCTCAACTAATGAATCAATAACTTTTTCATCAGAAACGATATAGTTGCTGTTGTTGTTTGTTGCCGTCATTTATATAGGAATAAAAAAATAAAAATAATTTTAAAACTAACTTTATTTTTGGACTGCATCATATTTTCGTAAATGTTGTCAAAATGTCATGTTGTCACACTTTTTCAGAGAAGTTAAATGACCTGGTAGCACATGGTAACATGGTAGCACCTTCAGTTCTTCAAAAATAATTCATAACTGCCTTCCTCCTGTGTTGTTGTCAAAATGTCATGTTGTCACACTTTTTCAGAGAAGTTAAATGACCTGGTAGCACATGGTAACATGGTAGCACCTTCAGTTCTTCAAAAATAATTCATAACTGCCTTCCTCCTGTGTTGTTGTCAAAATGTCATGAGGTTAGAAATGAGGTTAGATCTAACCATCTACCCTAAAAATTATTTTTGGTGAATTCAATAAAAATAAATGGTTCATTTACTCACAATATTTTTGTACAAAACAACCCCAAGCTTTTAACTTCTTTTCTGCAGCTTCTAATGCTATCTTAGCGAGTTCATATTCTCTAAATTCTCTCTTTAAATTTTCTTGTTCCCATTGGTCTAGTTCGTATGGAGAATCTCTATAACCATAACATAACTCACGTTCATGTTCTAATTGTTTTTCGCACATTTTTCCAACTTCTTCTTCAAACAAAGGTTTAGCATTCTCTACTGTATCTTCAAGTTCTTCTTCATCTAATTTCTCATGAACTTTCTTGTCTATGGAGTCCATAATATCTTTGACATAAAATGCATACTTTACAGAGCACCATTCAGCAACAAAATGAACGAGGTCAGGATGTATGTAAATACCTTTGAATTCATTTATAACACCCTTAGTAAGCTCATAAAATGCTTGTTTTGAGGTCGAGCCACTTTTGGCTCCACCGTATTCGTTCATCCAAAACTCAAGAATTTCCTGTATTTTAGCACTATTGAGAAATCTGTTTAAATGGTTTAACTTTCCTGCTTCTCTTGCCATCTTTGTTGCATTAATGTAACCATCCTTGTCTCTACGTAAGACTTCAATACCGTTATAAGTGCCTTTTGTGAATGTTTCGCCATTAGATTTGTTAGTGAATGTTTTTGCTTCGACTGACATTTCTGTTCTTACATACAAAATAAAAAAATAAAAATAATTTTAAAACTAACTTTATTTTTGGGTCATTTACATTCATTCCGATGAAGTCATGACAAATCATTTCCTGTGTTGTTGTCAAAATGTCATGTTGTCACACTTTTTCAGAGAAGTTAAATGACCTGGTAGCACATGGTAACATGGTAGCACCTTCAGTTCTTCAAAAATAATTCATAACTGCCTTCCTCCTGTGTTGTTGTCTAAATGTCATGTTGTCTCATTTTTTAAAAGAAGTTAAATGACCTGGTAGCACATGGTAACATGGTAGCACCTTCAGTTCTTCAAAAATAAGTCATAACTGCCTTCCTCCTATGTTGTTGACATAATGTCATGTCGTCAACATGGTAACATGGTAGCACCTTCAGTTCTTCAAAAATAATTCATTATTGAATAACCTAAAAACCATTAACGATAAAATAACTGATAACAAATTTTTATTTTTATATAAATGGATACCCCACAAGCTCAAAATTTACCACGAATCATAACAAGGGAGGAAATGATAAAAATGATGCGAGAACTTGCTAAAAATAACAAACCACTAAAACTGAGAAAATGCGGTTATGCAGTAATGATGGAAAGAGAGATGTTGTCAAAGAGGAATAAAAATTAAATTTGGATTGAGTTTAAAAATTCATCTTTATTAAATTCATCTCTTCCAATCAATTTATTTATTCTATTAAATTCTTTTATTTTTGCTTCACTCAGTTTAAGGATTGAACGGTAAGTTTCTAATTTTTCGATTATTTCTTTATCGTTTTCAACCCCACTGCATTGCGGCTTCTTTTTGTAATAGCATATTTTTGATTTAATTATGTTTAGTTTCTTTTTATATTCATCGTCTGGACTCTTGACTGCTTCGTTGTCACTCATTTCTTACGAAATAAAAAAAATTAAATATTATTTAAATATAATGGAGTAATAAAATAAATCGGAATTTCTATTAATTTATTGTCAACTTCAACTAATGCATTGCCGTTAATATATCTAACAAATTCAGCTATTGTGTCAAATCTTCGTCTTCTTTTTGTCATTGATTTATCAGTTTTTCCATAATCGAGATGAATCAAAACTTTATCCCCTTGTTTAAAATTCATGAGCCCCGAATTAATTTGTTCACGTTTAACATCATTTAACCTTTCCATTTGCTTTCTAATATATTCCCATTCTTTTGAAATATCATTTTTCATTTTCACCGGTTTCATGTTTATTGTTCTATGCCATTATATTATTATAATATATACTAACTGTTGTATGATGGAGTCATGATTTCCATCCCAGTATATCTGACCGTTAACCCCTAACGCATCTCTAAGAGTTCTCATTACCGCATCAACTATTTTATTATGAAACGTATATGGAGAGGATGAGAAGAAAAAATTAATTTGTGGGAAATAATGAGTCATAGCTGCCTGAAATCCTTTATCACCATCACCCCTGATATTATCTACTCTTTCATGATCTAGTAAGTATTGAATAGCTCTTCTTGTTTCCTGTTCTGTTTTCCCTTTCACCGGAATGCAATATAAATATCTAGTGTTAATGTTAATGGCAAATAAATAAGTAACGTTTCCTTTTGAATATTCCAGATGATCGATTTCGTATGAATATGGATATGGAGCAAATGAAGGGCGACTAAATTTTCCTTTAATGGTTGAATTTTTGGGTCAATTGGTTTATTTAATATCTTGAAATCCTTTTTAAAATCTTTTTGTTTCTTTAATGTTTGAAATGGATATAATAAAGTGAATGATGAAGGATTAACTGAAGGAGGCAGGCGGTACTGTCGTTGGAGGTTTTGGTGTTGCAAGTGGTTTAATTTTATCTGCTTTGATTTTGGATTTCATTCCTTCCTTCATTAATTCTGGATGTATTCTATTCATTTGTTTTAAATATGCTGTATATAAAGGTTTGATATACTTTCCCGCTTCGAGTTTATGTGAAGGATGAATTCCAAAAGTTGATCTTCATTTAAAAGTCGGGCTGAATATTGTTTAACTAATGAATCATAAATTAAAGCTTGTGCTTCATTTATGGTCTGAAGAACCTGAGCGTTTTGCGGCTCAGGATTATATAATTTATATAATTCATCAATATCTTCTTCTGTTAATACTTTATTTTTGAAATCTTTCAACTGTTTAAGTTGTGATTTAGTTTTTCCCTTTGAATATTCATTATTTTTAATTTTGTCTTTAATTTTAGAAATTATTCTATCATGATATTTCAAAATTTCATTTTTATAATATGGATAATAATATTCCATATCATTACCCGTTATATTGTTATCATATTTTTGGAGATATGCTTTTAAATCATAATAATCAAGAAAATTTTGATTAAATATTAAATCATCAATTAAATTTTTTAAATGTACGTTATTCATTTATATAAAAATAAAATCAATGTTTTAAGGGTGCCCGCCTCTTTGTCTCTTCTGTGGCATTTCATTAAAAATAAAATTTTAAATTGTATTAAATAAATGGCATACAACACCCATTTTCACAACATACAGCCTTAGTGTGTGCTCCTGTTAATGCAGTCTTACCAATTGTTAAGCGAGTCATTGACCCATTTTTAAGTTGTAAATTAATATTCTGACCATCAAATATCAATTTATCATTTATTATATCCAAATAATTTTTAGGTGTTAATTGTTTATTTTGTCGTAAACTAACACCTTTCATTTTTTGTGCAATCTTTTTAAAATCACTTCCATCAATTGAACCGTTGAATGATGTATAACACTTAGGACATAAAGCAACCATGTTATCACCTTGTTTCTCAATTGCTAAACCCAATAATTTTTTCTCATGTGCTTTTTCTTCAGCTTTATTCTTTAATTTAGGTTTAAATTTCTCATCAAAACAGAAGAAATCAAAAGGTGCGAATTTGAAAATTTTTATCATAAAATTGTTTATCGGTAACAATTGCTTGAAATGCTTGAGTGTTAGGAAGATTTGGGTCGCCAGCGATTGCCCAATAAGATGAATCAGTATCACCTTCAATGAAATGAAAACGATTAACATTCAAGCATTTATACATAAAATCATAAATGAAAACCAAATACCAGTATTTAGCATTATCTAAAGTGAAGAATGCCTCTTGTAAACATGTTTCACATCTATAAAATCTATCTTTGAGCATCATTTGATATGTATCTTCACCTATTTCTCTTATGTTTTTAAACTTATTTGACATACATGCAACGCGTGACTTCTGTGCATTCATTATTTTAGTCTTTGTGTAATTTTGTGTATTCATTGCATCGTAACCATATGATCCATTAAGTGAAATCTTGCAAAATAAACTTTTTCCTTTATTTCCTTCTAATTCAGCCTTTTGTCTTTCGTTCATAAATTCGTTCGCAAATTCATTAAAACAAGTGTTTTTCGTAAATGTTAAAATTGATTGAATATCATCAATGATAAAATGAAATCTGTCGATTAGATACCAAAGATAATAAGAAAAAATGGTTGATATTGGTTGTGTGTTTTGATGCTAATTGAGAATTTTCTCTGTTTCTGGTCAACTGGTAGATTGTTTGATTTCATGTAATTATACATAAAACTGCCAATTGTTTTTTCATCTGTGATAATATCTAAGTTTCTTATTATCGGTAAAAAGTTAATGTAATCATTAATGTATTTTTCATCAATGTGACCCTTTACTTCAGCCACGAATAAATATTTTTTCTTCTAATAATTCCCAGTGCTTTTGCTTTCTTTGTTGCTGTATCACAAATGATAACACCATTCAATCTTCCCGGCATATACATTTTATGGTCAGTATATTGAATGAAATCATGAGGATTAGATGAAAATGATGAAGGATATAATGAATTAAAATCAACACCAACGAAATGAGTCATGATGTTGGTGGTGTCCTCATTTGATACAGTTTTAGTTTCTGGATTATATGAAAGTTTATTAATGTGCGTGATTCCTTTAAGATTTACTCTATGTTGAACATTTGATAAACCACCAGTAATTCCATTACGGAGAATGTGATAAGCTTCAACTGAATCTAAAGTCATTGGTAAATTATTTTTTAATGCATAATTTCTTAAATTGATTCTTAAACGTTGAACATCTTCATCTTTATTTGATTTTACGACATTGCAATAACAACACATTAACTGACAATTTTCTTTGGTATGTGGTTTTTCATTATCTATTCTATCCAATGTTGGTTTATTTGCATATGTAAACGCTTTACCACACATTTTGCATTTAGATGAAAGGATTAAATCGTGATAGTATTGAAAATCATCCATTGAAACATTATTTTTAGTATCTCTTTCTGCTTTTTCATCTTGTTTCTTATATGATTCAATTTTATATTTCCAATACTTTTTCGTTAATTCAAAACTTGATTCCACATTTTCTTCTTCTGGATATGTTTCGTTAGGATTGAAGTTCTTATATGCTAACGCGTAACGAATCATTGAAGCATTCGATGATAAAGAAAGATTATGAAGCATATCAATTTTATAAACAAATGTTTCTTCAATAATTTTATCAATTGGGTCAATCATAATTTCAACATCTTTATTGCAATAATGAATAAAATATTCTAATCTATTCTTAAAGTTTTTAGCATCATTGAGATATATTTGATAATCTGAATCGGATATTGTTTCTTGTGTTAATGCTGAATAAAATGAATCTTTCGTGAATGGTTCCTCTTTATATAATTCTTCTTCGTAATTCTCCCATGTGATGAATTGATAAGGGAAAAAGGATTTAACACGTGATTTATTGTTTCCGAAATCTTGAGTGAATTGGTCTAATGTTCCACCCGCTATATAATTTCTGATGTCAATAAATCTCAATTCATATGGAATGTTTGTTTTCTTTACAATGATTTGCTTAAATTGTGAAGATGAACCCAGCATTGATTTTATTTTCCATTTTGCAGTGTTTAAATCACGAAGAATTAAATTTAAATCAAACTTTCCCGAATTAAAACCAATGATATTCACTTTATTAAATTCTTCATCTAAAAGCTCTTTCATTGCTTCCTTTTGTTTCTCATTTAATGTATTCATTAATTCTTCATATTGTTCAATATTTGATTTAGCAACTAATGAACAGGTTGAAAATAAAAATTCAATCCAATCAGAGATGAACGAATCACTTGATGTTAAGCAAAAATTCCTCGTAAATGTTTTATCACGGTCTACGACCTCGCCGCTTTGCGGCTTTATTTTGACAGTTGATGATACCATAAATGGTTTTAAGTAAGCGTTCAAAGTTGCACACTCAGAAAGTTGTAATTCTTCTTTAGTCTCTAATGTTTCAAAGTCAAAAGTAATATAATATCTTGTCGGTTTATAATATTTCTGCAAATTGTGAGCTAATAACCACTGATATATCTTCTGTTTCGTAATATGTGGTGCATATGGTTGCTGTGTCTTTTGCAACTGAACGTCTTGAATTAATCTTCCATTATTTTCTTTACATTTCTCACAATGCTTTAAAAATCTTCTTTGGTTTTTCCTTTCTGGATCATCACGGATAGAATAAACTTCTTCTTTGCAAAAGGGGCAAACTTTATATCCTGTGAGTGCTTCAACGTCTGTAATTCTGTCAGCGTGAAGTTTTCCACATGGACTCTGTGTTAATAAAATATTTACTGTTTCAAATTCTGGATCTATCATTATTGATTCCACTAATGGAAAGTCTACCTTGTTAATGTCTACGTCTTCTGGTTGAGGGTCACAATAATAAAAATCAATATTAACGTTTAACATTCTTGCTAACCTCTCACTTTCTGATGAAATGTCAAATCCTTCATATGCATCTATGGCTTCATTTAAATAACTTCTACGAGTTTTAGGATTAACACCATCAGGAATGTTATAGAAGCGTTTAAATAACCTTCTACCTTCGGCTCTTATTTGATTATCATTCATTTTAGCTGTTCCATTTTTGTTCATTTATGTAAGAATAAAAATTAAAAAATAAATAAAAATAAAGTTTATTTTTATTTAAAGTCCGAGACTCAGAGAGTCCAGGGCTAAAGTCCATAAAATGAATTAAGAACACATAAATTTTTATCATCTGCGACGTGACGAATACATTTTAATTTACTCAAGAATGCGTACCCTGATACATTAAATCTAATTCCTGTCTTATTTAATTTCACAACTTTGAAAAGGAATGTATGAATAGCTATAAAATGATGAGAAGATGTTTTATGGGTTGCTTCCATTTTTTCTGAAATAAATGAATAAATATAATGCTTATACGTTTTCATATCTTTTATATTCTTGATAACGAATGGTATAGACCTTTCCACTTCGTCTTCCTTCGGTGCTGTTCTTTCATATGAAACATTATTGGTATCTTCAATAATGAAACCACAATCGCATAAAATTTTATATGTACCAATTGTTTCTTTTGATATTTTATCTAACAAATCAAAAACTTTATCAACACCTGTACATTTATTTAAATAATAATTTGTGTAAATATCATGGTCTTCTTTCTTAATCGTATTTGTTGCATATGTTACATTTTTCAGTGCTTTTTTGAATTTTTCAGAATCAAGAGGAGGTGAAAGTAATATACATGGATAATCTCCATCGTCAATAAACTGAAGCTTATGTTTATGAATAAATTTTGTGCCTTCTTCTGAAAGTGTTTCGTCAATATCACCATCTAATAAATTTTTAGTAGATTCCAAAAAGTAATTTTTATATCTTTCCTCATGTGATTTTTGAACTTCTGATTCTGAAGCTGGGATATTCATTAAACCCTCTACTTCATTCTCAGCATTTCTCAATTCACTAATTCTTTCATCTATTTCATTTCTTAATTGTTCCAATTTCTCAATCTCATCGTTATAATATTCATCTTGTTTAATTTTTTCTTCAAAATATTCAGGAGGTGTTTCAAGGCTCTCTGAGCCCAGGTCCTCTGGACCATAAAGAGGAATATTCTCCTGTTTTTCAACTTTTTTGGGATATAAATATCTCATTATAGCCTTTTTAGTAATTGGTCCGTTATATTTAAATTCATTCAACAATCTGGAAAACTCTTTCACATTCTGCATATATGTTGGATAAGAACCGTCTCCAAAATTTTCTAAAATATTTTCTAATTCTGAATTAGTGAACTTTAAAGATTTCAATGAATTAGTTGTTATACTCATTTATTATAAAATAAAAAATAAAAAAATAAATTTAACTTAGTTTTAATTTTACGTAAGAAGTCAATTTTATTTTTTTTTATTTCGTTATGTTTGGGCTGAGTGTAAATGTCTTACAATTTTGAAAATTTTTTAAATCTTGATTTATTCAAAAACGTAAGAATAAAAACCGTAAGAATCATACATTTTTTACTTCATATGTTAAAAAAAATGATACAAAATCGTTCTATATTGTATGAATTCTTACGTTTACAAAAAAAGTCACACAACCCGTCCACATATACTACTGTAATCATCAAAATAAACGTCTACTTGTTTAACCTGGGTGAGAATTGGTGAAAGTTTATCCATTAATTGATTCACAGTCACGAATTTTGTTCCGTTCATTTCTTACGAATTAAAAAAATAAATTATTCAAAAATGTAAGACATTAATTTTTAAAGTTTATTTTTTTTAAATTTTTTTATTTTTTATTTCATTATGGTAGTGAATCTTTCATTCATGAAAATAATTATTTCTAATTTCTTTTATTCTCTCGTACATACTAGATTTGAAGAATTCGGAACTTTTACCATAATCTCCTAAATGTTTTCTTATCCCTAACGTGTGCCAGTTATTATATGAAACTGAATAAACTTTATCTTTATCTTTACACCTTTCATTACTTCCAATATATTTATATCTCAGTTTTGATTTAGCATTTTCATATTCATTAGCGTTTAATAATTCACAGTCTTCCTTTTTAAATTGATGTTTAAGATATTCAGGATTTAATACTCTACGTTTATATGCTCCTAACTTAGTTCTAAAGGTTTTTCTACAAAATTTAGGAATTCCATCCTCTTTAATGTCATCAATGATTTCCATTTCATTATTTTCAATTTCTTCTTCTCGTTTATGAGGTCTTTGATTATGACTCCATTGATTCCATGAAATTAAATATTCTTTATCATTATATTATACCTCATTAGCTTATTTTGGCTTTCATATTCATTTAATAATTCACAATCTTCATTTTTAAATTGAAGTTTAACCCATTCAGGATTTAAACAATGTTTAATTAATCGCGGAATATCTGACATCATCTATATATAGCTTCTTTTATAAAAGATAAAAAATAAATTATTTTAAAATTAATGTTAATTTTTTAATGATTTATAAATAAATATATTTTAATGCATCGTCTATATATAGATGTAACAAAAAAAGTCACTAAACCCGTCATATCCTACTACTCACAATTCAAAGAAATTAACGACGTACTAAATCAGCTCAATCAGCTTAGAAAGAAGAGACATGATGTTCGTTTACTTACGGCTTCTCTTAAGGGTCGCGTTGAAAATCATTCAAAGAAGGGAGATCCAGCTGAAGTTGCTGAATTACGCATTAGATACGAAAACAGCAATGCAGAACTTGATATTCTTACTAAGAAGTTTGTTACTTGTGTAAATAACTTCTGGGACAATAGACATCTTATATTTGAGCCAATCATGGAAGAAATGTCCAAATTAACATTCAATTTGTGTAAAGATCTATACGAACCTACTCAGTTCATGATGATGAGTGTTCCTCGTGAATTGTTGACAACGGATTTCTTGAAGAATGATCAAGAGAACTAGAATTCTTGATATTCAGCATGCACTTTATAAGTAATACTTTATAATAATTTTATTCTTTTACCCGTCTGGTTTCCCTCAATCCAAAATTGTAAATTGTAAACCTTTCAAAATTATTAAATTTTTCTTTTTTCCACTACATTATGTTAGAAGAAGACGTTATTGCTTTCGATGATGATCCTACTAACCCACACCTATTTACAAAGGTTCGTGGTGTATTTGCTTGTGAGAAGCGAGTTATGCTCATTGGCCCTTCAAATTCTGGAAAAACAACATTTCTGACCCAATTAAAAGGCATGTCAACGCCAAATTTTGGTCAATCTGATTACGATAACTTCAGATCGATTATATCAGATAACGTTGTTTCGTTTTTGCAACAGACTGTCGATGCAATCGAAAGAAAAGAGGTAGAAATACCTCCACCATTAAGGAAAGCAGTTGATCCATACTGTAACATACGTACAAGTGGCATTGATCTTGATACTAATGATATAAGAAGATTAAAAGCGATTTATGCATCGCAATTTATGCAGAAAGAAATGGCCCCTCTTGCTGATATTCAACACCAACATATCAACTACATTATGAGAAATCTTGATGCTTTATTAAATCCAGAATATCAACCTACTTTAAATTCAATGACCAGAGTAAGAGTAAGGACAGTTGGAGTGAACCGAAAAGCCTTTGCTCATGGAGACGATATTATACAAGTACTAGACTGTGGCGGCGCCAGATCTGAAAGAGGAAAAATTCATTTGAATACCGACATTTCAAAGATTATATTTTTTGTTTCATTAAGTGACTTCGATCTTCCTCTCTACGAAATTGACACTGTCAATAGATTTGATGATGCACTTGAGTTTTATCAACAGATTTGTCAAGATCCACTTTACGAAAGATGCCAAATCTCATTGATTTTGACTCATATTGATAAGTTAAAGGATAAACTTCAGCCCGATGGCCCATTTATTCAGAGATTCCCTAATTTTTCTGGAAATCTTTCAGATCCAATTGAATGCGCTAATTATATTGGCTCAACGTTTGTATCTTCTACAACAAGGCAAGTCAATTATTACATATGTAACCTTATTGATTCAAATACAACGCGTGAATTAATCAAAAAATTAATTCCTTTCCATTGATCTATATTTGTTTGAAATAAACTCATCTGTCTGTACTTTTTCGATTCCAAATAATGTTTTTTAAAGATATAATACCTTTTTTTAAAGAACAAAAAATTATTAAAAAAATTAAATTACTTTGATGATTTTGATTTCTTACCTGGTGTCTCAGAACCATTTTCAGTGTAAATGGATGTCTCGACGCCAAAGTCTGAACGAGAAAAGACGATCGCATAAATCGTCTTTTCATCGATACGATATCTAAATCTATCGGTAATACTTAGCGGAAATACTGAGCTTCTATCCCAGCGCTTTGCGAGGATTCTTGCAATCTGTATCTTGTTAGGAGAAAGGAATAAGATATCTCCGCCATTTTTAAGTCTAATGAGCATGAAATTATCAGTTTGATGAGATAAGCATACCTGATCTATGTTGTGGCATGATGCCTTCTTTTTGAGATTTGCAGATTGTTCTTTGAATAAATAAATTTGAGACTTTGTAATGATAAGAACGAATGGAACAAGTTTAAATTCAGTATGGACGAGCAAAACTCTCTCTGAATACTCAACATTATCTTGATCGTGGTTATCGGCAAGTGTCTGCATATATTTTTTATCAGTACTAAGTACAAAGCGAATGGTACTTGTGCCTTTCGATGCACTGCTGTTCCTCCTCCGCTTTCTTCTCAGTTTGAGTTCCAGGTTTTGAGCTTCAGACTTTCCCAAATCCATTTTATATTTATTGTCACGTTTTGAAATGACATTCACCTAAAATTCTTCAAATATTGATTGTATCACAAAACCAATAGGATATTTAGATTATTTAAAAAATATATGATAATTTCATTGTTTTAAAATTACATTATTCCTTCTTGAAATTTCCAAATTTTTTTAAAAAATCAAAAAATAAAAAAAATTCTCTAATACTTTAATTTGATATTTTAAAATTTGTAAAAATTTGGAATTTACATATAAGGGTTTCGTTTTGCTAAAATTGTCACTTTTATAGCATATTTGTTTTTGGATGTTTTGCGAAACCAAAAAAAAACTATGATATACAATGTGTGTGTAAAGAAAATACTTTATTTACTAGTTAAAAAATCATTTGGTATTGATCAAGTTATTTTTTCTGGATAAGATATTATATGGATAATTGGATAGAAAATACAATTATATAATCTTGTACCTGGTTTAATTAAGCTAATTGTCATCAGAAACTTGTAATTTTTATGAATTTCAGATTTTCTTTTCATTACTGCTTTTCTTAATAGGTCAAGTTCTTATTTACGTTATAAAGTATGATATTTACAAATATCAAGTTATCGTGTTTTTTGAGAAATTATGAGAAACAAACAAAAATGAAAAAGATAGGAATAGCAATGAATAGTGATGTGGGTATAGAAAATGTAAGAGATATGAATGCAAAGCAATCAGTATTTAGGACATTGACCATAGATTTCGAAAAAAAATGCTGCATATTGAGCGAAAACTATGATTATATTATAAGGCTGTCATTTAAAGCATAATGAAACTATTCCCTTTTCATTTTAATCGAATAAGAAAGTAAAGACTTTTGAATTAGCTAGAAACTGATGAGATGTTTTCACAAATCAGATTTTTAATCTCTATAATGCATAATTCACTCAATATCTCAATTTTGATATTGCGAGATAATTATAGGGTTGTTAGATTCCCGACGATAGGTGTCTTGGAAGATTTGCCTGGTGTAATCATAGTGTCTTTAAATCAAAAATTTTATTTTGGAGTTAGTTTTAATGATTTTTCAATAAAAAACATTTCTAAAACAAGAAAATAAAACAAGAAAATAAAACGATAAAATATTTATATTTTATATAATGATCTTATATATTTAAAATAAATATCATTTTATTTTTTCATTGGTGTCTGTCAAACCATAATACACTATTCAAAAATTCAATGTGTCTTGCGGTTTCAAAAGACACCTTCAAATTGAACGATAGCACAGACACTATTGAATTTTACCCATTGCATTTAGTTTTTACCCTTTTTATTTTTAAGAATTAATGACTGAAACAGCCGTTTTGCTATGACCTCAATCACTTTTATTTATTATTTTAAATATTATTTAATTTTATTATTTGAATAGGCCAACTTATATTGAGAAGCTCAATTTGAGACCACTTAATACATTGAAATATCATAAATATTGAAATATTAAAAAGTGTATTTCAAAATATTGAAATTATAAAAATTTATAATACTGAAATTGAGACAAATTAATAAATTCAATGTGTTTTTTTTTTGAAATAACTCTCAAATATTATTTTTTTGTTTATTTAATGATGAATAAATAGATTGCTTTAGTCAATCATAAAAACTAAATTTAAGTTTAAAATAATGAAAGGATAATTTGATCGTTTATTAAAATACAATTATTTTTGATGATTTGCAAGAATCTTTGAAAAGAATATAATATAGGTTCTATTTTTGTAAAATTTATCCAAATCATGTATTACATAAAATACGATTAAAACGATGAAAGAACCAAAAAGTGTGTTTTGTGTTTTGTTGTTGCGTGTTGGATGCGGGATCCTGTTATTTCCGAAATCGACAAAAAATTTGGAAATTTAATTTCCGAAATCGAAATTATATTAATGTTTTTAATATTCTTATATCAAAAGGATTAAAGTTCATTAAGAGAAAAACAATTCTTCTTCTTCAATCTATTGGCGCATTTATTTCTACACGCCAATAAGGAAGGGAAAATTATAAGACACCATGGTGTCTTCAAAACGCTAATTTTTGATATTTTTAACAACCCTAGATATTTAGTAGTAGGATATGAAGGGTTGTGTGACTTTTTTTGTTACATCTGTAATAAACAGAAATTCATCAAAAGTGACAGCTCTCAATTTTTTGACATTTGTAAATTCTAAATTGAATGAGAAAAATGAAATAATACTAAGCATAATACAATATTCTAGATTTAATTATAATTAGGAAAAAGTTAGTTTTGAGAGTACTTTTCATAGGCATATAGAATGAAATCTTCTGAAAAATAATATCACATAAACTCATATTATTTTCTAATATATAACTATTTTATATAAAAATCAAATTCAATGATCTTAAAAGCGAAGGATAAACCTCAAAATTTACGAATATAATGAGTGGGAATATAATGCTTATCTATCATAAAACCATATGAAATATCAATTTTTTGCTTTACGCCTAATTTTTGACGACAATTAGCAAAAAATGTTAAATGTTAACACTCGTCCATTTGAATATGAAAAATAAAATTGACTTTGATTAAATGTTTTTATTTATCATGCAATTCTTCTTGCGACCAAAGATTTGAATAAAATTTCAAAAAATAAGATAGCTTTAAAAATAATATACGGTAGTGTTTACTAATAGATGAATAGTATATAAATTCTATTAAAATGGATTTGATCCAAAAAAATATAAAACCAAAAATAATTGTTATATTTAAATGAAGAAGTAATTTAAAACGATTTTATTTATGATCAAATTTTATATATTTTTTTGGATCAAATCCATTTTAATAGAATTTATATATATTCATCTATTAGTAAACACTACCGTATATATTATTTTTTAAGCTATCTTATTTTTTGAAATTTTATTCAAATCTTTGGTCGCAAGAAGAATTGCATGATAAATAAAAACATTTAATCAAAGTCAATTTTATTTTTCATATTCAAATGGACCGAGTGTTAACATTTAACATTTTTTGCTAATTGTCGTCAAAAATTAGGCGTAAAGCAAAAATTGATATTTCATATGGTTTTATGATAGATAAGCATTATATTCCCACTCATTATATTCGTAAATTTTGAGGTTTATCCTTCGCTTTTAAGATCATTGAATTTGATTTTTATATAAAAGTTATATATTAGAAAATAATATGAGTTTATGTGATATTATTTTTCAGAAGATTTTGTGTTCTTCTTCAAAATTTTATTTTTTTATTAAAAAGAATCTTTACAAAATATACATTTACTTTCATTAATATTTAAAAACGTGCTCTATCAAAAGTTCCAAAAATTCAATATTTTAGCTTTTCTGAGGTGTCACTTTTGATGAATTTCTGTTTACAACACATCTATATATAGACGATGCATTAAAATATATTTATTTATAAATCATTAAAAAATTAACATTAATTTTAAAATAATTTATTTTTTTATCTTTTATAAAAGAAGCTATATATAGATGATGTCAGATATTCCGCGATTAATTAAACATCATTTAAATCCTGAATGGAATCAATGGAGTCATAAACGAGTAAAAGAAATTAGAAATAATTATTTTCATGAATAAAATAAACTTTAAAAATTCATGTCTTACGAAAAATTAAAACTTAGTTATGTTTATTATTTTATTTTTTTATTTTGTATGAAATGAGCGTCAAAACTAACAACGTTAAAAAATTAGGATTCACAAACGAGGAAATAAAGGATATATTAGAGGAGGTAGGTTATGAAGTTGATAAATATTATTTAAGAAATTGTCAAAAATTCGCGGAGTTATTAAATGATTTAGATTATGATGGAAAAATGAATAAAGATGATGTTATAAATTTCTTATATCCCACATCTGAAGAAGAAAAACCTAAAGAACCTGATGTTTTCCCCGAATATTATGAAGAACGATTAAAGATGATGAATACAATGAAATTGAAAGACTGAAAAAAATAAGAGATGAAATAGATGAAAAAATTAAGGAATTAAGAGAAGTTGAAAAATATAATGAAAATGAAGTAGAGGGTTTAATGAATATCCCAGCTTCAGAATCAGAAGTTCAGAAATCTCACGAAGAAAGATATAAAAATTATGTCTCAGAATCAACACAAAATTTATTAGATGGTGAAATAGACGAAACACTTTCAGAAGAAGGTACTAAATTTATTCGTAAACATAAGTTACAATTTATTGATAATGAAGAATACCCCTGTATCCTACTTTCACCCCCTCTCGATTCTGAGAAATTCAAAAAAGCTCTTAAAAACGTGACATATGCAACTAATACGATTAAGAAAGAAGATCATGATATTTACACAAATTATTATTTAAATAAATACACAGGTGTTGATAAAGTTTTTGATTTATTAGATAAAATATCAAAAGAAACCATTGGAACCTATAAAATTTTGTGTGATTGTGGTTTCATTATTGAAGATACCAATAATGTTTCATATGAAAGAACAGCACCGAAGGAAGACGAAGTTGAAAGGTCTATACCATTCGTTATTAAGAATATAAAAGATATGAAAACGTATAAGCATTATATTTATTCATTTATTTCAGAAAAAATGGAAGCAACCCATAAAACATCTTCTCATCATTTTATAGCTATTCATACATTCCTTTTCAAAGTTGTGAAATTAAATAAGACAGGAATTAGATTTAATGTATCAGGGTACGCATTCTTGAGTAAATTAAAATGTATTCGTCACGTCGCGGATGATAAAAATTTATGTGTTCTTAATTCATTTTACGGACTTTAAAAAAATAAACTTTATTTTTTAATTTTTTATTCTTACATAAATGAACAAAAACGGAACAGCTAAAATGAATGATAATCAAATTAGAGCAGAAGGTAGAAGGTTATTTAAACGCTTCTATAACATTCCTGATGGTGTTAATCCTAAAACTCGTAGAAGCTATTTAAATGAAGCAATAGATGCATATGACGGGTTTGACATTTCATCAGAAAGTGAGAGATTAGCGAGAATGTTAAATGTTAATATTGATTTCTATTATTGTGATCCTCAACCAGAAGACGTGGACATAAATAAGGTAGACTTTCCATTAGTGGAATCAATAATGATAGATCCAGAATTTGAAACAGTAAATATTTTATTAACACAGAGTCCATGTGGAAAACTTCACGCTGACAGAATAACAGACGTTGAAGCACTCACCGGCTATAAAGTTTGTCCATATTGTAAAGAAGAAGTTTATTCTATCCGTGATGATCCAGAAAGGAAAAACCAAAAGAAGATTTTTAAAGCATTGTGAGAAATGTAAAGAAAATAATGGAAGATTAATTCAAGACGTTCAGTTGCAAAAGACACAGCAACCATATGCACCACATATTACGAAACAGAAGATATATCAGTGGTTATTAGCTCACAATTTGCAGAAATATTATAAACCGACAAGATATTATATTACTTTTGACTTTGAAACATTAGAGACTAAAGAAGAATTACAACTTTCTGAGTGTGCAACTTTGAACGCTTACTTAAAACCATTCATGGTATCATCAACGGTTAAATTAAACGATAAAACATATACGAGGAATTTTTGCTTAACTTCGAGTGATTCTTTTATTTCTGATTGGATTGAGTTTTTATTTTCAACCTGTTCATTAGTTGTTGAATCAAATATGAGTCAATACAATGAATTATTGAAGTCGCAAACGGCGGGGACTTTGTCTCATACATTAAATGAAAAACAGAAGGAAGCATTTAAAGAACTTCTAGATGAGGAATTCAATAAAGTGAATATCATAGGTTTTAATTCGGGAAAGTTTGATTTAAATTTAATTCTTCGTGATTTAAAACTGCAAAATGGAAAATAAAATCAATGCTGGGTTCATCTTCACAATTTAAGCAAATCATTGTAAAGAAAACAAACATTCCATATGAATTGAGATTTATTGACATCAGAAATTATATAGCGGGTGGGACATTAGACCAATTCACTCAAGATTTCGGAAACAATAAATCACGTGTTAAATCCTTTTTCCCTTATCAATTCATCACATGGGAAAATTACGAAGAAGAATTATATAAAGAGGAACCATTCACGAAAGATTCATTTTATTCAGCATTAACACAAGAAACAATATCCGATTCAGATTATCAAATATATCTCAATGATGCTAAAAATTTTGAGAATAGATTAGAATATTTTATTCATTATTGCAATAAAGACGTTGAAATTATGATTGACCCAATTGATAAAATTATTGAAGAAACATTTGTTTATAAAATTGACATGCTTCATAATCTTTCTTTATCATCGAATGCATCAATGATTCGTTACGCTTTAGCATATAAAGACTTTAATCCTAATGAAAAATATCCTGAGGAAGAGATAGAATCAAGTTTTGAATTAACGAAAAAGTATTGGAAATATAAAATTGAATCATATAAGAAACAAGATGAAAAAGCAGAAAGGGATACTAAAAATAATGTTTCAATGGATGATTTTCAATACTATCACGATTTAATCCTTTCATCTAAATGCAAAATGTGTGGTAAAGCGTTTACATATGCAAATAAACCAACATTGGATAGAATAGATAATGAAAAACCACATACCAAAGAAAATTGTCAGTTAATGTGTTGTTATTGCAATGTCGTAAAATCAAATAAAGATGAAGATGTTCAACGTTTAAGAATCAATTTAAGAAATTATGCATTAAAAAATAATTTACCAATGACTTTAGATTCAGTTGAAGCTTATCACATTCTCCGTAATGGAATTACTGGTGGTTTATCAAATGTTCAACATAGAGTAAATCTTAAAGGAATCACGCACATTAATAAACTTGCATATAATCCAGAAACTAAAACTGTATCAAATGAGGTCACCACCAACATTATGACTCATTTCGTTGGTGTTGATTTTAATTCATTATATCCTTCATCATTTTCATCTAATCCTCATGATTTCATTCAATATACTGACCATAAAATGTATATGCCGGGAAGATTGAATGGTGTTATCATTTGTGATACAGCAACAAAGAAAGCAAAAGCACTGGGAATAATTAAGAAGAAAAATACTTTATTCGTGGCTGAAGTTAAGGGTCACATTGATGAAAAATACATTAATGATTACATAAACTTTTTACCGATAATAAGAAACTTAGATATTATCACAGATGAAAAAACAATTGGCAGTTTTATGTATAATTACATGAAATCAAACAATCTACCAGTTGACCAGAAACAGAGGAAATTAACTCAGTTAGCATCAACATACAACCAATATCAACCATTTTCTTCTTATTATCTTTGGTATCTAATCGACAGATTTCATTTTATCATCGATGATATTCAATCAATTTTAACATTTACGAAAAACACTTGTTTTAATGAATTTGCGAACAAATTTATGAACGAAAGACAAAAGGCTGAATTAGAAGGAAATAAAGGAAAAAGTTTATTTTGCAAGATTTCACTTAATGGATCATATGGTTACGATGCAATGAATACACAAAATTACACAAAGACTAAAATAATGAATGCACAGAAGGCACGCGTTGCATGTATGTCAAATAAGTTTAAAAACATAAGAGAAATAGGAGAGGATACATATCAAGTGATGCTTAAAGATAGATTTTATAGATGTGATACATGTTTACAAGAGGCATTCTTCACTTTAGATAACGCAAAATACTGGTATTTAGTTTTCATTTATGATTTTATGTATAAATGCATGGATGTTAATCGTTTTCATAGTTAGTATACAAGTCTTGGGTATGGTGGCACTGCGTTCAACCTTACCCAATACTTGTGAATTTGACACTTTACAAAACCGTTAACGTATATTTTACAACATGAACACAAAAACTAACTTAACCTTAAATATTTACAAAGCCGCCAACAATTTCACCTCACTATCGTTCTCACTAACAACTTCACTAATGTTCTCATAAATTTTCCTCAATATCTTCATCATCAGTGTTAACCCTATTGTAGTCATACTTGAAGCCATAAACTTTCTCTAACTTCTTAACGTACAATTTACATAACTTACCTTCGTCATCATAAGTTTTTATAAAACTACCATGACAATCTTTATAAACAGTCAGTGTATAGTCAACTGGTCTCGGATGTATTTGAAAGAACATGTTATGCTCAGGAAGGAAGAATAAATGTTTAAATGTATGTTTGTTATATGTTTTGATTTGTATGAGTTGCTTTTGTTCTGTCATTTACATAAAAATAAAATAAAAATAATTTAAAAAAAATAAACTTAAAAATAAATGATATCACCACCCTCACGCGTATGAAAACATAGCACAAAAATAAATTTAGGGTAGATGGGTATATCTAACCCGATTTCTAACCTCATTTCTACCCTGTTGAATTCATTGCTTTATTCCTCACTGTCGTCTGCTTTCTCCAACTCTTCTAACTTCTTCTTAAGTTCAGCAATGTTGTCCTCATGAAGTTTAATCTTTCTCAAAATTCCTTCTTTATCTAATGGTTGCTTTATCTTTCTAAACTGAACTCTACCATCCTTCATAGTATGAATGTAAAAACCTTCTGGAATAGTTCCTGATTTAATGTATTCTACCAAAAACTTTTGTTTCATTGCTTCAGTGACTTTAGTCGTCATTTCAATAAAATAAAAATTTTAATATTAAATAAAAATAACGTTATTTTTTTCAGTAAGGAAACGCAGGAGTTTTACGATTTATTTGTGGTGTAGGTTCTGGTTTAAATGTTGGAGTCGGTTTTGGAGTTGACTTTTGAACAGGAGTTTGTAATTCCATAGGTTCAGGAGTCATTGAAGGTGTTGTTTGTGAAGGCGTTGGTTTTGGCGATGGTGTCGGAGTTTGTTTAACTTCAGCTACTTCAGTATTATTTACAACATTTGCTTTATTTCTTTTCAACATCATTACTGCTCCTGCTGTAGCTAGCAAACCTAGTGGGAGACCATATTTTATATAAGGACTTGACCAAATGCTATTTTTGACAGGAGCTGGTGGAACACCTAACCTTGGTGAGACTGCTCTTTGCCATTGTGCAGCTCGTAAGAAATATTCAATAGGTGCTCCATAATCGTTTGGTAAAGTTTGTTTCATAGACGGTGAAGGTTCACGAGAGCTTGATGAAGAACTCATTTATAAGCTTTAAAAATAAACGTTCATCCTTTATTCCTCACTGTCGTCAGTTGCTAAGTTATAGTCGTCAAGTCTTATTATTGGTATGCCTGACTGTCTTACTTGTATTGCAAAGCAACAATCCCTCATAAATCCAATAAGTGGCTTTGGTACATTTTCAGTTGCTAGTTCAATAGGTCCTTTAACAGACAATTTGTATGTTATTGGAGCAGTAGATGTTTGACCTTGCTGGAAGCAAAAGTCCACTTCTGTTGGAAAACCACATAAGAAATGTGTGTTGTCATAGCTATCCCATTTATGTTCCACACTACCATCATCCACCAATGACCTCATAACATCTTCATTAAATCCAATCATATCATTGTTTGTATTGCAAGCGTTCGCAACCATTTCATAAAATACAGGTCCATATGATTTTTCAGGTTCTGCAGGCATATTTCCATAAGCTCCCATGGAAAGCTGAAGATATTTAAACTTAGGGTTCTCAAAATTAACATAATAGTTGTCTTTCTTTCTAAATAGTGCCCAAATACTTTTAAACATTAATAGGCGTATAAGCTGCTGTAAATGTTGCACTTGAACTATCTCTGTATTCTTTGAGAATGAACCGTCCATAGGAATCCAATCCATAACTTTAACAGGAAAACATAAAGCCTCGTTTGTATAATGTTCTACAAGTTCTGTATAAATGTTAGGGTCTAAAGAGAATGACTTTGGATGAATGAAACATTCATTAAAATCCATCTTTGTTCGAAATAGTTGCTGGGTTACAGTTGTAATAGTAACTGTTCCACTAGCTTCTATTGCCTTCGTTATCATAGTGAATGGTTCATTCCATGGAACAAATTTATTTGTCGGTGGATTTGAATCTGAAGCAAATGCAACTTTAAGAGTTGGATTGAAAGCAATGATATCATTTACAGATATAGATGTGCATTGTAATGCGTCGCTACTGAACTTTACTTTAAGCTGAATGTTACCAGCAAATGCAGGAATAAATCTTATAGCTTCTAATGGTAAAAACTTTCTAACAGGAATTCTTAAACGAAGCTTAAAATCAAATGATTTTCCTGCTGTAATTGGACCACTAACAATTTGTCCTGTTCTGCATGTTCCCGAATGACTCCATACATCTTCATGTCGAGTCTTTGAGAAAACATCTACTTTCTTTATTTGTTCGGTAGTTTGTGAGTTTGAAGTTATATATGCTTCTTCTCTTGCGTTGTCTTGAGAATATACGATACGACCATTTGCAAGGATTTGATATCCAGCAACTGCATAGAAAGCGTCATCGAAACCAATCCAAAATCCTGGTGGTTTGTTTTATTGGAACCTGAACCAATTTCTTTATCTACAATAAATTGACCTTCCATTTTATACGTAATGAATGTATTGTAAAGGTCCAACATATTTTCACCAGGAGGTGAGAGATTGAATGTTACCCATGTGTTTATCTTTAGCAGTTCCAGGTTGTGATGGAATCTTTGCGTCAGAATATTTTCTATTAGTGTCACAATTTGAACTGCATTGTCTATGATATCGAAATATGAGCGAATCTGATGAATATGCTCTGCTGGAGTAAATTCGTTTAACTGTTCGTTCTGCATGTCTTTGATTCGGATAAAATATCTATTTACTTCATTATTCTCACTCTTCTTCTTGGCATTCGTGGTGGAAGTTGTTTCTTGACATTTTCAATGAATTGTACATTCTCTTTTGTCTCAACTTCTTTCACTGGCGGGTCAGGATTCTTTGACTCGGTTTGTTTTTCAATGAAATTCACGAACTTTGCAATAAGCTCTTGGTTCGTTATTGAAAGTACATCTGGCTTCTTTTCTTCTGGTTCTATTGACTTTTCAGTTTGAATAGAAGGCTTAACATGGGCTTCGCCCTCGGTGCCATGCACCTTAATACTGTCGCTTTCTGCATTCGCTAATGGAACCTTTCTTTTTCTTACGTATATTTTACCATCTTTACTCTGACTTACGTAATAGAAAGGATGTTGTATTCCTCTTGCGTCATTTAATATAATAGACTCTCGCTCTGATTTTGACAAGCTCATTTTACATCGGTTAAAGTTTTAATTTTGTTTTTTTATCTGCAGTCAAATGACTCAGACAAGCCCTACGGACAAGACCCAAGGGGTCATAGATTTTGAAGCATTGAAGAAAGAAATTCGCGAGCAAATTTTATCCGAACTGAAGGAACAAAAACAAGAACAAAAGCCAGAGAGACCAAAGAGAAAACTTAGTGAAAAACAACTTGCTGCATTAGCTGCTGGAAGACAAAAGAACCCAAGACTACTGGCGAAAAAAAGCTAGAGAAGAAGCTGAAGCAAAAGCTAAAGAAGCTGAAGTGAAGAAAGAGTAAATGGTTTATTTTTATTGGAACTAAAATGTATAGACAAATACCTTTATCTGTTGCGTTCAGTAGTGAAAACCCTGACGTCAAAATAAAGGGGAACAGAGTAACGTTTAAGTTTCCAACAGACTGGATTGTGAACATAAATGAAGAAAAATATATTGGCATAACAAATATGTATATAACACGTGCATTTAGGAAAGTTGACTTTATACTTCAAGTCGAGATAGAAAATGACGAACAGTCTTTAAGCGCCCAAAACATTCACATATACAAATACTTTAAAGACGATACAACATTGTTGCAATGTATGATTTCATTTAATGAAATGTTCGAGAAAAAGTTTAACATTGAAGTACAAACTTTACAGCCTTTACGTGAGTTTCTTGCACAACTGAAAGAAGAAGGTAGTCAGCCACAACTTCTAGACTTTCATTATGAATTTAATGAAAATGAAGATGGAACACATGACTGTCAGTTTGTTATATATTCACCATTCAATGAAGTCGCTAAAGAGAAAGAAAATCCATTACGTATAAGATTTCAAATCTCTGAACCAAGTGATGATTTCAAGAATGTTTTCAATTATGATGCAATGCTTCCGAGGAAAAATGAATTTTCAAAGATTGTAACACCTGGCATTTGGGATAGAAAGCAAGCTATTCTTTTTCTCTAATATAGCCAAAGGCGTTGAAAATGAGTTCATTGGTCATACAAGAACTTCACCACTTCCTAACCCTAAATACTATAAATTAACTGGCTTCAATCGTGAGTTTTGGATAGATATGTTCTCCACTCATGACCATAACTGCCCAGTGTTCTTACCTCCAGACCATAAGGACTGTCTCTACATTGAAGCACAACTCTTAAACTCTACCATCGCAGTATTGTAAATGACCACATGGGCTTCGCCCTTGCCGCTAGCGGCTTATTTTTATCATGAATGGTCTCACTGCTGACAAAAATAAATGACCTCAGAACTTCAACTTACGAATAAAGCTTGTTTTAGTCGTTATTGAGAAGTTAAACTTTTCAGCAAAGCAAGGACTAGAAGACTTACATAAGTCAAATCCAATCTCTTGACCATCATGAAGTGCTTTATATAACTGCATAACACTGAACTCAGAGTCTTTGTCAAATTTTCCTTGCGGAACCATTAAACCTTTATCTTCATCATAGAAACACTGAACAGAGTCAGGAAACATTTCATTAGCGGTTAGAGCAATAACATCTTGCTTCACGCCTTTCATTCTGCAGTGAAATGCAACTTCATTTAAATCGTTAGTGAGTAAGTCTATGTAGGTCTTCTTTCCACAGAAAATACTTTTATAAGCTAAACTTTGTTTATCTTTTATGATTTCTGCAAAGTCGCTATGAAATTGACCTAATGTTTTACCAATAAGTTCTCTACCGTATCTCTTCTTAAATTCATGAGCTAAACGTGGTATGTCTTCATTGTAAATGTGCATCGAATCTGTATCCTGCTAAAATGCTTTTAATCCTAAGTCTTCAATCGTGCAAAACACTTCATTCATAATACGTTTTGACATTGATAGAATATTTACACCAAGTGGGCAAAAGTTAAAGTGTCTGCAAATGCTTTTCGTTAGCTTGAAAATAGTTTTATCTGAACCATCCAAACCTTCGAACTTCACTATATGGTTGTAATTTCTTATAGCATATCTTATAGCATCTTTGTCATCTACTATGGTTATTTTTGACTCAATAGGAGATAAAATGGTTTTGCCATAAATGCTGTTCAGAATGAGTTTTATAATTTCTTGTAATGGGTTTTCTTCTTTCTTATACTTTAACCTTAACTCAAACAATTTCTTAACTTCATCTCTTATTCTCAAATCTCTGTTTCCATCGTAATAGTATCCTTGCAACACTTCACATTTGACACCTTGATATTTTATAAGGTCCTGTAATGTTATATGGTCAACATACATGAGACAGCAAGTGTTTGAACTTCTGGGAACGTTAAGTTCTGGATTTAGTTCAGGGTCACAAACTATTAAAGGAAAGTGTCTATGTATTCCAATCTCTGTTATCTTAATGAGAACAAAGAAGCCAGACATAAACTTTTCACCAATGGGTTCCTTTTGGTCATCATCGAATAAATGTCTCATGAGATACTCTGTGCTTAACATCTCATCCTTCAATACTTTTGGAATTCCTTCTAAAGTATAAAGTCTTGCTATAGCTGATGGATATAATGAAACAGCGTCGAAGTCAGCAATGAGTTTCTTTTTGCTCTTTTGTTTAATGTTATCTGACAACATACATCTTCCACCTTGAATGCATCTCGAAATAAATTCTCTTGGTTTATTTGAGAGGTCATAAAGATTTCCATTCGGGAAGTACACTCTGTTCTCAAACAATTTGTTAGCAATAGAACAAATACTAACGTAGTCATAAACGTTTAAATCAAACTCTTTCAATAAGTCATTGCGGAACTTTACAAAACCTTCTCTTAAAATTCTTACATCTTGTTTGCAGTAAAACGTGCTATATTTTTCTAAGTCGAAGTGGTTCTCATCTATTCTGCAACCTTTAATGGAATCTATGTTCTTCATAAATGTATCTGCATCCTTGACAAACTTACATGCTTCAGAAATGACACCAGTTCTGTTGTCATTTGCTAACAAAACACTGCTGTAGTAGTTATATGGAAATACTTCTTTCGGTCCTGTTTGTAAGTTAAACATAGCAGGAAATAGTTTAAGCTTCTTATTTATAACACTGTAAGAGTCTTTTATAATAATTACCCGTCCTTTATATAAACCAGTTATTTGCATTGTTCGTGAACCTTTAATGATGGGAGTTCCTTTCACTTCTGTCATGTGTCTTAAGATGAAGTTTATATCATAGCTGAGGTTATGGAAATATATTAAACTCTTGTCAGGAAGTCGTTCCAAAAATTCTGTTGCACAATTCTGACCCCAAATGCTTTCACTCACTGAACCATCTTCACTGTCATAACAGATGTTAAAAGCTTTATGAAAGCCATCGGTACTACACTCAAAGTCAGCAAAGAAAACGTGCTCAGGAATGAACTTGCACTTATTTTTATTTACTTCTTTTGACTCGGCTTTCTTCTTCAGTTGTACACAATACTTTGGAGCATATGTCAAATCTTTAAATGGTGCAAGGTTCTGTTTATATAAGTCAGTCGTATATGTGAAAAGTTCTCCATAAGAAATAGGTTCGAAATATTTGCACTCCCACAATGTTTTCATAACATCCCATAGCGGTGTAGTTCTATCATAACGAACTACATATTTGTTCTCTCTCTTTGTATATATTTTCATCTGTTTCTCAATGTTCATTCCACCACACTCCTTCAAGATTTCTATATAGTTGCGAATGAAATATGTTGTCATTGGAAGTCTTTCATTTAGCATGTAGTGGTCTTCAACAAGAAGTAAGTCAATAGTTCGAACAGTTTTACATTCTTTTGGTATGTATCTCTTTATTTCATTATATCTTGAGTCATTGAAGTAACCAATGGTAACATTAAATGCTATACCTGTTGCGTCAGAAATTTCTTGTACTTTACTTTGAGGAAAGTCTCTAACACGAATGACTTCTCTCATGTGGTCAATAGTTTCTTCATTTACTCCAGCCTGAATGCAAGCATAAACGAAACAATTGTCTTCTGTCATAAGTGTTGCAGTTCTTTTGTTCAGTTCATTGAAGATTTGGTAGCGTTCAAGATTTATAGGTAATGTGCAAAGATACTTCCAGAACTGACCGCTTCTCTTCTTATAAAACTTCTTTTCACCATTATCTTTCCAAAAGATTTCTATAAGTGCTGGGTTTCCTGTTTGCTTAAGAGCTTCCAAAATGGCTTTCTGGTCATTTGTCAGTGTGCTTTCATCTCTATATGGTCTCTTTTTTGGTTTGCCTTTCTTTACATCTGACATCGTTAAGCCTTCATATTCTGTTAAATCATACATCTTTATTTCAGTAAGATTCTTTATGTTTGTCAAGAAGAAGTCATAGTGCATTTCAACAATACCTGCAGCATTTGCTTCTATCTCTGATATAAAGTTCTCCTTCAAGAGCTGATGTAGTAATGTTCCAATATTATTGAGGTTTAACGTAGAACATTCATACTTTCCACCAAGTTTATAACATACCATCCATCTCTGTTGTGAGTTTATTTTAATTTTCTCTAAGAGTCTCATGAAAACCTTACCGAAATGTTTGTGTAAGTAGTCTCTGTTTGGTTCATCTAAAGCTTCGATGTTAAAGTCAATGAGTCTATTGCCTGACTTCACATTTCTCTTCCTATTCTCTTCATCTTTCTTTAACCATCTCTCACCTTCTTTTGGTTTGTCGTCAATGGAACGAATGACATCGTTAGCTTTGCGAACTTGTTCTATAGCACTTTTAAACATCTCTCTTCTCTGTTGTTTCAGTGTGTCGTCTCTTCTTCTTGTTTCACCAACGTTTGCATTTGTTATGTCAAACATTTCTCTTCTTACTTCATGAGGTATTGAACGTCTATGATATAAGTCAATAGCAACGTCATTTAAAGGAAAAGTTCTTGCATGGACTTCGTCCTCGCCGCGTTGCGGCTTTATGAACTCATGAATTCTATCATAACTTATTGCACCATTATAGTCATTGAGGATGTCAGCGAGTGCTTTTTTGTTTGTCGCGTAATGTTTTGCAACATCTATGTTAGCTTCTGTAAGAAATAAAGAATCTTACTGAAATAAAGATGTATGATTTAACAGAATATGAAGGCTTAACGATGTCAGATGTAAAGAAAGGCAAACCAAAAAAGAGACCATATAGAGATGAAAGCACACTGACAAATGACCAGAAAGCCATTTTGGAAGCTCTTAAGCAAACAGGAAACCCAGCACTTATAGAAATCTTTTGGAAAGATAATGGTGAAAAGAAGTTTTATAAGAAGAGAAGCGGTCAGTTCTGGAAGTATCTTTGCACATTACCTATAAATCTTGAACGCTACCAAATCTTCAATGAACTGAACAAAAGAACTGCAACACTTATGACAGAAGACAATTGTTTCGTTTATGCTTGCATTCAGGCTGGAGTAAATGAAGAAACTATTGACCACATGAGAGAAGTCATTCGTGTTAGAGACTTTCCTCAAAGTAAAGTACAAGAAATTTCTGACGCAACAGGTATAGCATTTAATGTTACCATTGGTTACTTCAATGACTCAAGATATAATGAAATAAAGAGATACATACCAAAAGAATGTAAAACTGTTCGAACTATTGACTTACTTCTTGTTGAAGACCACTACATGCTAAATGAAAGACTTCCAATGACAACATATTTCATTCGCAACTATATAGAAATCTTGAAGGAGTGTGGTGGAATGAACATTGAGAAACAGATGAAAATATATACAAAGAGAGAGAACAAATATGTAGTTCGTTATGATAGAACTACACCGCTATGGGATGTTATGAAAACATTGTGGAGTGCAAATATTTCGAACCTATTTCTTATGGAGAACTTTTCACATATACGACTGACTTATATAAACAGAACCTTGCACCATTTAAAGATTTGACATATGCTCCAAAGTATTGTGTACAACTGAAGAAGAAAGCCGAGTCAAAAGAAGTAAATAAAAATAAGTGCAAGTTCATTCCTGAGCACGTTTTTTTTGCTGACTTTGAGTGTAGTACCGATGGCTTTCATAAAGCTTTTAACATCTGTTATGACAGTGAAGATGGTTCAGTGAGTGAAAGCATTTGGGGTCAGAATTGTGCAACAGAATTTTTGGAACGACTTCCTGACAAGAGTTTAATATATTTCCATAACCTCAGCTATGATATAAACTTCATCTTAAGACACATGACAGAAGTGAAAGGAACTCCCATCATTAAAGGTTCACGAACAATGCAAATAACTGGTTTATATAAAGGACGGGTAATTATTATAAAAGACTCTTACAGTGTTATAAATAAGAAGCTTAAACTATTTCCTGCTATGTTTAACTTACAAACAGGACCGAAAGAAGTATTTCCATATAACTACTACAGCAGTGTTTTGTTAGCAAATGACAACAGAACTGGTGTCATTTCTGAAGCATGTAAGTTTGTCAAGGATGCAGATACATTTATGAAGAACATAGATTCCATTAAAGGTTGCAGAATAGATGAGAACCACTTCGACTTAGAAAAATATAGCACGTTTTACTGCAAACAAGATGTAAGAATTTTAAGAGAAGGTTTTGTAAAGTTCCGCAATGACTTATTGAAAGAGTTTGATTTAAACGTTTATGACTACGTTAGTATTTGTTCTATTGCTAACAAATTGTTTGAGAACAGAGTGTACTTCCCGAATGGAAATCTTTATGACCTCTCAAATAAACCAAGAGAATTTATTTCGAGATGCATTCAAGGTGGAAGATGTATGTTGTCAGATAACATTAAACAAAAGAGCAAAAAGAAACTCATTGCTGACTTCGACGCTGTTTCATTATATCCATCAGCTATAGCAAGACTTTATACTTTAGAAGGAATTCCAAAAGTATTGAAGGATGAGATGTTAAGCACAGAGTATCTCATGAGACATTTATTCGATGATGACCAAAAGGAACCCATTGGTGAAAAGTTTATGTCTGGCTTCTTTGTTCTCATTAAGATAACAGAGATTGGAATACATAGACACTTTCCTTTAATAGTTTGTGACCCTGAACTAAATCCAGAACTTAACGTTCCAGAAGTTCAAACACTTGCTGTCTCATGTATGTTGACCATATAACATTACAGGACCTTATAAAATATCAAGGTGTCAAATGTGAAGTGTTGCAAGGATACTATTACGATGGAAACAGAGATTTGAGAATAAGAGATGAAGTTAAGAAATTGTTTGAGTTAAGGTTAAAGTATAAGAAAGAAGAAAACCCATTACAAGAAATTATAAAACTCATTCTGAACAGCATTTATGGCAAAAACCATTTTATCTCCTATTGAGTCAAAAATAACCATAGTAGATGACAAAGATGCTATAAGATATGCTATAAGAAATTACAACCATATAGTGAAGTTCGAAGGTTTGGATGGTTCAGATAAAACTATTTTCAAGCTAACGAAAAGCATTTGCAGACACTTTAACTTTTGCCCACTTGGTGTAAATATTCTATCAATGTCAAAACGTATTATGAATGAAGTGTTTTGCACGATTGAAGACTTAGGATTAAAAGCATTTTAGCAGGATACAGATTCGATGCACATTTACAATGAAGACATACCACGTTTAGCTCATGAATTTAAGAAGAGATACGGTAGAGAACTTATTGGTAAAACATTAGGTCAATTTCATAGCGACTTTGCAGAAATCATAAAAGATAAACAAAGTTTAGCTTATAAAAGTATTTTCTGTGGAAAGAAGACCTACATAGACTTACTCACTAACGATTTAAATGAAGTTGCATTTCACTGCAGAATGAAAGGCGTGAAGCAAGATGTTATTGCTCTAACGCTAATGAAATGTTTCCTGACTCTGTTCAGTGTTTCTATGATGAAGATAAAGGTTTAATGGTTCCGCAAGGAAAATTTGACAAAGACTCTGAGTTCAGTGTTATGCAGTTATATAAAGCACTTCATGATGGTCAAGAGATTGGATTTGACTTATGTAAGTCTTCTAGTCCTTGCTTTGCTGAAAAGTTTAACTTCTCAATAACGACTAAAACAAGCTTTATTCGTAAGTTGAAGTTCTGAGGTCATTTATTTTTGTCAGCAGTGAGACCATTCATGATAAAAATAAGCCGCTAGCGGCAAGGGCGAAGCCCATGTGGTCATTTACAATACTGCGATGGTAGAGTTTAAGAGTTGTGCTTCAATGTAGAGACAGTCCTTATGGTCTGGAGGTAAGAACACTGGGCAGTTATGGTCATGAGTGGAGAACATATCTATCCAAAACTCACGATTGAAGCCAGTTAATTTATAGTATTTAGGGTTAGGAAGTGGTGAAGTTCTTGTATGACCAATGAACTCATTTTCAACTCCCTTACTTAAGTTTGAATATAATATAGCTTGCTTTCTATCCCAAATGCCAGGTGTTACAATCTTTGAAAATTCATTTTTCCTCGGAAGCATTGCATCATAATTGAAAACATTCTTGAAATCATCACTTGGTTCAGAGATTTGAAATCTTATACGTAATGGATTTTCTTTCTCTTTAGCGACTTCATTGAATGGTGAATATATAACAAACTGACAGTCATGTGTTCCATCTTCATTTTCATTAAATTCATAATGAAAGTCTAGAAGTTGTGGCTGACTACCTTCTTCTTTCAGTTGTGCAAGAAACTCACGTAAAGGCTGTAAAGTTTGTACTTCAATGTTAAACTTTTTCTCGAACATTTCATTAAATGAAATCATACATTGCAACAATGTTGTATCGTCTTTAAAGTATTTGTATATGTGAATGTTTTGGGCGCTTAAAGACTGTTCGTCATTTTCTATCTCGACTTGAAGTATAAAGTCAACCTTTCTGAAAGCACGTGTTATATACATAGATGTTATGCCAATGTACTTCTCTTCATTTATGTTCACAATCCAGTCTGTTGGAAACTTAAACGTTACTCTGTTCCCCTTTATTTTGACGTCAGGGTTTTCACTACTGAACCCAACAGATAAAGGTATTTGTCTATACATTTAGTTCCGATAAAAATAACCCATTTACTCTTTCTTTGCTTCAGCTTCTTTAGCTTTTGCTTCAGCTTCTTCTCTAGCTTTTTTCGCCAGTAGTCTTGGGTTCTTTTGTCTTCCAGCAGCTAATGCAGCAAGTTGTTTTTCACTAAGTTTTCTCTTTGGTCTCTCTGGCTTTTGTTCTTGTTTTTGTTCCTTCAGTTCGGATAAAATTTGCTCACGAATTTCTTTCTTCAATGCTTCAAAATCTATGACCCCTTGGGTCTTGTCCGTAGGGCTTGTCTGAGTCATTTGACTGCAGATAAAAAAACAAAATTAAAACTTTAACCGATGTAAAATGAGCTTGTCAAAATCAGAGCGAGAGTCTATTATATTAAATGACGCAAGAGGAATACAACATCCTTTCTATTACGTAAGTCAGAGTAAAGATGGTAAAATATATGTAAGAAAAAGAAAGGTTCCATTAGCGAATGCAGAAAGCGACAACATTAAGGTGCATGGCACCGAGGGCGAAGCCCATGTTAAGCCTTCTATTCAAACTGAAAAGTCAATAGAACCAGAAGAAAAGAAGCCAGATGTACTTTCAATAACGAACCAAGAGCTTATTGCAAAGTTCGTGAATTTCATTGAAAAACAAACCGAGTCAAAGAATCCTGACCCGCCAGTGAAAGAAGTTGAGACAAAAGAGAATGTACAGTTCATTGAAAATGTCAAGAAACAACTTCCACCACGAATGCCAAGAAGAAGAGTGAGAATAATGAAGTAAATAGATATTTTATCCGAATCAAAGACATGCAGAACGAACAGTTAAACGAATTTACTCCAGCAGAGCATATTCATCAGATTCGCTCATATTTCGATATCATAGACAATGCAGTTCAAATTGGTGACACTAATAGAAAATATTCTGACGCAAAGATTCCATCACAACCTGGAACTGCTAAAGATAACACATGGGTAACATTCAATCTCTCACCTCCTGGTGAAAATATGTTGGACCTTTACAATACATTCATTACGTATAAAATGGAAGGTCAATTTATTGTAGATAAAGAAATTGGTTCAGGTTCCAATAAAACAAACCCACCAGGATTTTGGATTGGTTTCGATGACGCTTTCTATGCAGTTGCTGGATATCAAATCCTTGCAAATGGTCGTATCGTATATTCTCAAGACAACGCAAGAGAAGAAGCATATATAACTTCAAACTCACAAACTACCGAACAAATAAAGAAAGTAGATGTTTTCTCAAAGACTCGACATGAAGATGTATGGAGTCATTCGGGAACATGCAGAACAGGACAAATTGTTAGTGGTCCAATTACAGCAGGAAAATCATTTGATTTTAAGCTTCGTTTAAGAATTCCTGTTAGAAAGTTTTTACCATTAGAAGCTATAAGATTTATTCCTGCATTTGCTGGTAACATTCAGCTTAAAGTAAAGTTCAGTAGCGACGCATTACAATGCACATCTATATCTGTAAATGATATCATTGCTTTCAATCCAACTCTTAAAGTTGCATTTGCTTCAGATTCAAATCCACCGACAAATAAATTTGTTCCATGGAATGAACCATTCACTATGATAACGAAGGCAATAGAAGCTAGTGAACAGTTACTATTACAACTGTAACCCAGCAACTATTTCGAACAAAGATGGATTTTAATGAATGTTTCATTCATCCAAAGTCATTCTCTTTAGACCCTAACATTTATACAGAACTTGTAGAACATTATACAAACGAGGCTTTATGTTTTTCCTGTTAAAGTTATGGATTGGATTCCTATGGACGGTTCATTCTCAAAGAATACAGATAGTTCAAGTGCAACATTTACAGCAGCTTATACGCCTATTAATGTTAAAAGTATTTGGGCACTATTTAGAAAGAAAGACAACTATTATGTTAATTTTGAGAACCCTAAGTTTAAATATCTTCAGCTTTCCATGGGAGCTTATGGAAATATGCCTGCAGAACCTGAAAAATCATATGGACCTGTATTTTATGAAATGGTTGCGAACGCTTGCAATACAAACAATGATATGATTGGATTTAATGAAGATGTTATGAGGTCATTGGTGGATGATGGTAGTGTGGAACATAAATGGGATAGCTATGACAACACACATTTCTTATGTGGTTTTCCAACAGAAGTGGACTTTTGCTTCCAGCAAGGTCAAACATCTACTGCTCCAATAACATACAAATTGTCTGTTAAAGGACCTATTGAACTAGCAACTGAAAATTACCAAAGCCACTTATTGGATTTATGAGGATTGTTGCTTTGCAATACAAGTAAGACAGTCAGGCATACCAATAATAAGACTTGACGACTATAACTTAGCAACTGACGACAGTGAGGAATAAAGGATGAACGTTTATTTTTAAAGCTTATAAATGAGTTCTTCATCAAGCTCTCGTGAACCTTCACCGTCTATGAAACAAACTTTACCAAACGATTATGGAGCACCTATTGAATATTTCTTACGAGCTGCACAATGGCAAAGAGCAGTCTCACCAAGGTTAGGTGTTCCACCAGCTCCTGTCAAAAATAGCATTTGGTCAAGTCCTTATATAAAATATGGTCTCCCACTAGGTTTGCTAGCTACAGCAGGAGCAGTAATGATGTTGAAAAGAAATAAAGCAAATGTTGTAAATAATACTGAAGTAGCTGAAGTTAAACAAACTCCGACACCATCGCCAAAACCAACGCCTTCACAAACAACACCTTCAATGACTCCTGAACCTATGGAATTACAAACTCCTGTTCAAAAGTCAACTCCAAAACCGACTCCAACATTTAAACCAGAACCTACACCACAAATAAATCGTAAAACTCCTGCGTTTCCTTACTGAAAAAAATAACGTATATTTTTATTTAATATTAAAATTTTTATTTTATTGAAATGACGACTAAAGTCACTGAAGCAATGAAACAAAAGTTTTTGGTAGAATACATTAAATCAGGAACTATTCCAGAAGGTTTTTACGTTCATACTATGAAGGATGGTAGAGTTCAGTTTAGAAAGATAAAGCAACCATTAGATAAAGAAGGAATTTGAGAAAGATTAAACTTCATGAGGACAACATTGCTGAACTTAAGAAGAAGTTAGAAGAGTTGGAGAAAGCAGACGACAGTGAGGAATAAAGCAATGAATTCAACAGGGTAGAAATGAGGTTAAAATCGGGTTAGATATACCCATCCCCTAAATTTATTTTTGTGCTATGTTTTCATACGCGTGAGGGTGGTGATATCATTTATTTTTAAGTTTTTTTTTTTAAATTATTTTTATTTTATTTTATGTAAATGACAGAACAAAAGCAACTCATACAAATCAAAATATAACAAACATACATTTAAACATTTATTCTTCCTTCCTGAGCATAACATGTTCTTTCAAATACATCCGAGACCAGTTGACTATACACTGACTGTTTATAAAGATTGTCATGGTAGTTTTATAAAAACTTATGATGACGAAGGTAAGTTATGTAAATTGTACGTTAAGAAGTTAGAGAAAGTTTATGGCTTCAAGTATGACTACAATAGGGTTAACACTGATGATGAAGATATTGAGGAAAATTTATGAGAACATTAGTGAAGTTGTTAGTGAGAACGATAGTGAGGTGAAATTGTTGGCGGCTTTGTAAATATTTAAGGTTAAGTTAGTTTTTGTGTTCATGTTGTAAAATATACGTTAACAGTTTTGTAAAGTGTCAAATTCACAAGTATTGGGTAAGGTTGAACGCAGTGCCACCATACCCAAGACTTGTATACTAACTTTCATTTCATTGAAGGTGATACTGATTCATCTTATTGGGCAATCGCTGGCGACTCAAATCTTCCTAACACTCAAGCATTTCAGGCGATTGTAACCGATAAACAATTTTATGATAAAAACATTTTCAAATTCGCACCTTTTGATTTCTTCTGTTTTGATGAGAAATTTAAACCTAAATTAAAGAATAAAACTGAAGAAAAAGCACATGAGAAGAAGTTATTGGGTTTAGCAATTGAGAAACAAGGTGATAACATGGTTGCTTTATGCCCTAAGTGTTATACATCATTAAACGGTTCAATTGATGGAAGTGATTTTAAAAAGATTGCACAAAAAATGAAAGGTGTTAGTTTACGACAAAATAAACAATTAACACTAAAAATTATTTGGATATAATAAATGATAAAGTGATATTTGATGGTCAGAATATTAATTTACAACTTAAAAACGGGTCAATGACTCGCTTAACAATCGGTAAGACTGCATTAACAGGAGCACACACTAAGGCTGTATGTTGTGAAAATGGATGTTGTATGCCATTTATTTAATATAATTTAAAATTTTATTTTTAATAAAATGCCACAGAAGAGACAAAAGGAACCGTTAATAATGGTTTTGATACTATGATTCAAAGAGGCGGGCACCCTTAAAACACTTATTTTATTTTTATATAAATGAATAGCGCAGATTTAAAAATTTAATTTATGATTTAGTACTTAATCAAAATTTTCTTACTTATTATGAATTAAAATCATATCTCCAAAAATATAATAAAAATATAACGGGTGATGATGTGGATTATTATTATCCGTATTATAAAAATGAAATTTTGAAATATCATGATAAAATAATTTCTAAAATTAAAGACAAAATTAAAAATAATGAATATACAAAGGAAAAAACTAAATCACAACTTAAACAATTGAAAGATTTCAAAAATAAAGTATTAACAGAAGAAGATATTGATGAATTATATAAATTATATAATCATGAGCCGCAAAAAACAAAGGAACAAAACACCCAGGTCCTTCAGACCATAAATGAAGCACAAGCTTTAATTTATGATTCATTAGTTAAACCATATTCAGCCCGACTTTTAAATGAAGATCAACTTTTGGAATTCATCCTTCAACATAAACTCGAAGCGGGAAAGTATATCAAACCTTTATATACAGCATATTTAAAACAAATGAATAGAATACATCCAGAATTAATGAAGGGGGGAATGAAATCCAAAATCAAAGCAGATAAAATTAAACCACTTGCAACACCAAAACCTCCAACGACAGTACCTCCTCCTTCAGTTAATCCTTCATCATTCACTTTATTATATCCATTTCAAACATTAAAGAAGCAAAAAGATTTTAAAAAGGATTTCAAGATATTAAATAAACCAATTGACCCGAAAATTCAACCGTTAAAGGAAAAATTTAGTCGCCCTTCATTTGCTCCATATCCATATTCATACGAAATCGATCATCTGGAATATTCAAAAGGAAACGTTACTTATTTATTTGCCATTAACATTAACACTAGATATTTATATTGCATTCCAGTGAAAGGGAAAACAGAACAGGAAACAAGAAGAGCTATACAATACTTACTAGATCATGAAAGAGTAGATACTATCAGGGGTGATGGTGATAAAGGATTTCAGGCAGCTATGGCTCATTATTTTCCACAAATTAATTTTTTCTTTTCATCCTCTCCATATACGTTTCATAATAAAATAGTTGATGCGGTAATGAGAACTCTTAGAGATGCGTTAGGGGTTAACGGTCAGATATACTGGGATGGAAATCATGACTCCATCATACAACAGTTAGTATATTATTACAATAATACATGGCATAGAACTATAAACATGAAACCAGTGGAAATGAAAAATGATATTTCAAAAGAATGGGAATATATTAGAAAGCAAATGGAAAGGTTGAATGATGTTAAACGTGAACAAATTAATTCGGGGCTCATGAATTTTAAACAAGGGGATAAAGTTTTGATTCATCTCGATTATGGAAAAACTGATAAATCAATGACAAAAAGAAGACGAAGATTTGACACAATAGCTGAATTTGTTAGATATATTAACGGCAATGCATTAGTTGAAGTTGACAATAAATTAATAGAAATTCCGATTTATTTTATTACTCCATTATATTTAAATAATATTTAATTTTTTTTATTTCGTAAGAAATGAGTGACAACAAAGCAGCCAAGAGTCCCGATTCAATTAAGATTCAGAGTCCAGACAATGAATATAAAAAGAAACTAAACAGAATTAAATCAAAAATATGCTATTACAAAAAGAAGCAGCAATGCGGTGGGGCTGAAAACGATAAAGAGAGGAAAGAAATAATCGAAAAATTAGAAACTTACCGTTCAATCCTTAAACTGAGTGAAGCAAAAATAAAAGAATTTAATAGAATAAATAAATTGATTGGAAGAGATGAATTTAATAAAGATGAATTTTTAAACTCTATTCAAATTTAATTTTTATTCCTCTTCCCGAACCCTTCTGGGTTCTTCTTTCCATCATTACTGCATAACCGCATCTTCTCGGTTTTCGTGGTTTGTTGTTTTTAATTCGTTCTTGCATCATTTTTATCATTTCCTCCCTTGTTATGATTCGTGGTAAATTTTGAGCTTGTGGGGTATCCATTTATATAAAAATAAAATTTTGTTATCAGTTATTTTATCGTTAATGGTTTCAGATTATTCAATAATTAATTATTTTTGAAGAACTGAAGGTGTCACTACGTCACCATGTGTCACTCGGTTAATTAACTTCTCTGAAAAAATGAGACAACATGACATTTTGACAACACAGCAGGATTAAGGAGGAAGGCACTTATGAAGCATTTTTGAATAACTGAAGGTGTCACTACGTCACCATGTGTCACTCGGTTAATTAACTTCTCTGAAAAAATGAGACAACATGACATTTTGACAACACAGCAGGATTAATGCAAAAATAAATTCAAATCATACTTTATAAAGCTTCATTTACAAGTATTTCATCGTCAGTAAATGAATCCTCATTATCGTTTGGTTCAACCTGTTTATATAATCCTTTCATTTCTTCTTTCAAAACATAACACCATGTTTGTTTACCATCTATTCTTCTCTGTTTCTTATCACATTTATCTTTAATGCTCATTTGAAAGTTTTTGTCTTTCATGTCTGATGGTTTGCAGAATAGAGCATTTTCACACGTCATACCTGCACTCAATTCATCATAATGTGTATTTATCCATACATCTAAAGGATTTGTTGATAATTCAATTAAATCTTGTTTGGCTTCAGTCGTCGGTATGATTCGTACGTTAAATGATGAAAGGTCATATTGCATAAAATACGTCAGTAAATTATCATAAAATTCCTTTGTGCATGAATTCATCAAATTCTTGAAGTAATCAAATTGACCCTTGAATTTACCATTAACTCTTAAAACTACGTATCTTCTGTCTCCAACTTCAATTTTGACAGGGTAAACGTTATTAGTTACGAAAATGAAGTTTGCAACGTTCTGAGCAGTTCTTCTGGGTTGATTCTTTTCATTAATTCTTATCTCATTATCCGTTATAATTGATTTCAAAGCGTTGAAGTTTGCGAGTCTGTCTTCACCTACATTCTTGAGTTCATTAAGTACAAGAAACATTTTATTCTCAACTACTGAGTTGAAATTACCCGTTAGCTCACCTATTTCGGTAATGTTTTTACATGAATAACCAGCGAGAAGTTCAGAAATAATGTCTGTAAATCTGTTTTTACCTGTTCCCTGAAGTCCTTTCAAAATAATTGCTGTTTCATTCTTGATTCCAGGATGTTGAATCATTGATGCAATCCAGCCGAGTAGATATTTATACACTTCATCGTTATTATCACAAATGGCTTCTTTAATGAAATTCATAAACATCTCAATTTTTGAGTAATCTGGTTTTTCGAGAACGTTGTATTTATAACCCTGAAACGTTGAGAAAACATCTGGAGAATCAGATTTAAAGCAAACACCCTTAACGGTTAATGAAGACAATTGATTTAATAGTACATCCCATGCTGTTATTGTTTTACTTTCTTCTTTAAATAATTTAATCATTTTGAGTGACTCTTTCATGTTTGATTGAAGAACGAATGATATTTGATTCATTTTGTCGTGTATGTTGTAATCTTTTTGAATGAAGTATTTGTTTCCATAATCTACAAAACGGATTACACGTGATAAATCCTCAATTACTTCAGAACTGTTTTTATACTGATGATTTTCAGCCTTGCGTCTAATATCTGTTATCAAAAACGAGTCATCAAGTTTTATATCAAATGTTATTTTTGGCTTACGTAATAAAGGTAAAACATATTCATCATAATATTCCTTTTGATAAAGTTTTAGAATCTTCACTAAAACAAATGGAGAAGTCATTAAATGTGCATATCTACTACGTGCTTTTTCAAAATTACTTTTTGCATTTTCAGTTAAGCTGCAGAAGTTATAAACGTTATCGTATGCTTCATTAATTAAATGATTAGGTAACGAATTAATTGCTTGAAACAGTGTGAATAATGTAACTTCTTTTTCTAAATTCATGTTTCCACCGTCATTATGTACTTCAAAATCACTGATGCCATCAACTATGCTCTGGGCAAGTTTATCGTCAATGTTTACATCTTTGTTTTCATTCATTATACTCTTTATTTCTTCATTCTTCTGTTCAACTCTTACCTTAATATTCAAATCATTTAATATATCATTCACTGTTCTAGTTAATGTTGAATCGTAACTTCCACGAATGAATGAGTATGTATTGATTGGTTCTGATGCATTCTTGCGAACTCTTGAATCAGCCATAACTACTAAAGAACGCTTTGAATCATCCATAGAAGTCATGATATCGATATCATAATCATTGCAGGAATAGCATTTAATCATTCTGTTCGAAACTGCATAGAAGAAATTAGTGTTGCAATAAATGTAAAGACCTCCTGAAGCGGTTTTAACGATAACATCTTTATCCGAAAGTTTTGATAAAATATCTTTTCTAACTGTTTCTTTAAGTTCATCATTGTACGATTTATTGATATCAACATCTATAATCGTTAAATTTGAAATTTTATTTGCTAATAAAGCTGTACCAGTTTTCCTTCCTCTTCCTCCATCGTGTTTGAGGTAGTTATGTAAATCAATCTTGTTTTCACCAATTCTTTCGTTGAGGGTTTTAGTTTCTGCCACAACTAATTCCTCAGCTAATGAATCAATAAATTTTTCATCAGAAACGATATAGTTGCTGTTGTTGTTTGTTGCTGTCATTTATATAGGAATAAAAAAATAAAAATAATTTTAAAACTAACTTTATTTTTGGACTGCATCAAATTTCCAGTGATGTTGTCGAAATGTCATGTTGTCTCATTTTTTCAGAGAAGTTAATTAACCGAGTGACACATGGTGACGTAGTGACACCCTCAGTTCTTCAAAAATAATTAATTATTGAATAACCTGAAACCATTAACGTAAACATTAACGTAAACATTTATTTCCAGGACTGTTGTCGAAATGTCATGTTGTCTCATTTTTTCAGAGAAGTTAATTAACCGAGTGATACATGGTGACGTAGTGACACCCTCAGTTCTTCAAAAATAATTAATTATTGAATAACCTGAAACCATTAACGTAAACATTAACGTTTACATTTATTTCTGCAGTTCATCCATTACTTCATTACCTAATTAATTACAGACATAAAATATATTTAGTTCATTCGGTAAGCCTTGACCCAAAGGTCTGGGCTCAAGCGCGTTCAATGAATGCGGTACCATGCGAATATAGTCACAAATGGTGGCATATAATCTGCACCCGAGCCTGTTGGATTTGTTGTGAAAGTGTGTGAATGATTTCCTCCTGGTTCAGTTGGTCGAAAAGTCTTTTTTGCTGCATTGTTATAAGATGGAGATAAAACGTCATTGCCAGCTTCATACTCTGAGTTGTATAATGGGTGGTCTCTTAATGAGTGGCTATGGTCGCCAGAAAAGTTTGTCGTTCCTGTATGAGTGTGCGGTGGAAGGTTTGCTTCTTTAATTTTCTTCGAACCTCCTGTTTGCTTTGAATATCTAGCACAGTATAAGAATTTATCTACAATCTGCTTCCACGTACCAAAACCTAAAACTGTTGCTGGATTTGTTGAATTCATTGACGTATAAATAGAACCAACAGGATATAATGTTTGAAGTATTTCATTTTTCATGCTTGTAATCACATCATTTACTTCCGACTTCTTTGCATAATTTTCATCAACATAAGTTTTATCTGCTTTAAGGTCTAAACATCCTGAAACCCATCCTGTATCAGCTTTATCTTTAAAAGTCTCCGATGTCCATTCATGATACCATTCAACCTTTTCTTTAATTTCATTATCTTTTTCATCAACATAAGTTTTATCTGCTTTAAGGTCTAAACATCCTGAAACCCATCCTGTATCAGCTTTATCTTTAAAAGTCTCCGATGTCCATTCATGATACCATTCAACCTTTTCTTTAATTTCATTATCTTTTTCATCAACATAAGTTTTATCTGCCTTCTTATTTAACTCACTATCCACATATTCCTTATCCACCTTCTTCATTATGTCATTTAGGAAACCTTCTATGAATTCCTCATTTAAATTAAATCTTCCAATCTTCAAAACTTTAGGAAATGCATTTAATGCGTAATATCTCTGTTCTTCTGGTGGAATTGATGTTATATCATCCGTTATTCCTTTAATTTTTGAATTCATAAATAAAATTTCTTTTATATTTGATATCACTGCACCACCTTTGCAAACGAATTCGAAATGGTCATTTTTCAATACTATCTCCAAATCTCCATATTTCAACCTTTGCGTTTGTTCTGCCGTCTTTGAATTATATGCATATATGGCGTATGTAATGGTCTGAAGGACCTGGGTGCTTTGCACCTTAAGTTGCTGTTGTTTAATCATTTATTATGATTTAAAAATAAATATTTAATACGTTATCTCATCAGCTATTTTCTCTATTTGAAATTGCCATAATATTTCATTCATAAATTCTAAATCACAATCAAATAGGTCAGTTATTCTTATGGCATTCCAAACGGGAACCGCGGTTGGTTACCATGGATTTCCGTCACCGGTCACATTTTAAAGATTTTTTAAGCCTTATAAAAATATGCTTTGTAAATCATTTTTTGTAAATCGGCAAAAATTTGGTAATTTTCTTCAACTAATAAATCTGCGAATAGCATTTATAATACAAGAACAATCTTTTAAAATGCGTTTGATTCATTTTTGTATAATTTCATATAGGCACATATATTCTTCCGGGACTTTCTGTGATTTTACCGTAAAATCATTAGTTTACACCGATTTTTCCGTATTTTGAATAGTTTACTGCACTTTTTCCGTAAAATTGAGTTACGGGAATCCGCAAAATTTCCGGACCCCATTTTTCATAGAATATAATAATAATATTTGATAAAAAGATATATTATTTATATTTTTGATTTTTGAATTACGGAAAAAGTGAATTGATAACTTGATTTTTTTATATGGTTAATTTTTCAAATGATATTATGAAGATCTAAAATATTAAAAGTAAAAAATTGAATTACGGAAAAAGTGAGGTCAAAAGTGAAATAAATTTGCAGAACAATTTTCATTGAAATAAGCTTTATTTTTCATTATTAATAACAATGCAAAAAAATATTTATCACGGGTTCAAAATTTAAAATTAAATATTTTAATAATTTACATCTTATTCTTTATTTTATATTTAACCCGTGAAAATATCATTTAAAAATTGAATATATTCAAAAAGCTTTATTTTTATTATGACTGCATGGGATCCTCATGTATATGATGAGTGGATTCCATTTAAGAAGACGAAATATCCACCAACTCCTGAAACATTGGAAACAAAGTGTGGAAAAAAATGTTTCACTACGATCGGCTATTATGAGAATGAGCCTAATCAATCAGACAAAGGAAGGCTCTTTACATACTGTGCCGAATGTAGTGAAACATTAGTTCAAGGGCAGTTCGTGCGATGCATTAAAAAAAGCAGGAAAAATGATTTTAAAGATCATAAGTGCAAATTTTTACTCACAATGCCCAACTACGTTCCTGCTGAGCACCAAGTTGAGAATACTCAGCAAGCAGTTGGCTCTGGTAATGATCCTTCGTTAGAAGAGATCATTGCCAGGCTTATTGCGAGCCTAGATATAAGCCTTTATGCCACAATGAATCCAGCATTTAAAAGCTTCCTAGAGAGCTTCGCCAAATGGCTTAAAAATAAAGTCAATCGCGAACAGGGCATCAACTTTACAATCCCAGACATTGAGTTCACACGGCGCGGTGTCAGAGAGGCATTGATTACTTTAGGCAAAACAGACTCCTCTCGGGGCCTAAAGTTCTGCGAGGAATTCCGCATCTTCTCAATTTCCCTGGACTGCGGAACACACGGCAGCCGTCATGGTCTATTCTCTTGTGTGTGCAATCCAGGCAAAACAGATCGCCACCAATTCTTCGACACAACAATTTCGACTAATTGGACATACGAGGACTACCATACGTGGTTTGATTCTCTTAAGGTTAATAAAAACCACGTAGCTGGAGTAGTCGGAGATGGTTTGCCAGCCCAGGTTAAAGGACTCTGCCACTGGAGGCCAGAAGGAGCCCTTTTCCCTGGCTTACAAACCGTGTACATTCGTTGCCTTAACCACGTCTTGAACAATGCTATTGTCCACGCACGTAAGCAATGTCCATTGTTGAATGAACTGATGAATAGAGTTCACCAGATTATCATTATCTTTAAGAATCACGATATGAGAGCGAGATACAAGATCAGGGTTCCATCAAGAAACAATAAGAATTACCGAAAAAGTGACAAAACATCAAAAACAGGGAGGGAGTCTCAATTTTTATTACTTATATTATTTTACAATATTTATATAAATACTCTTTATAATATATTTTACTATAAAATTATACCTCAAATTCAAATATTTAAAATATTATTTACATAATTATCTCAAAATTATATTTTTATATATTATTTTTCATATGTATAAATCATATAATCTATATCTATGCAAATCTCATCTAAAATTTTTTGAAACAAACCGCTACCATTTTATAATGGTCCATCTTAAATTCATCATAAATTCTGGTACATGTTAGTACCAGAGTCTTCAAATCTCAAACACTCTGGTACCAACATGTACCAGACGCGAGTTTCCAATGCCCTCGTACGATTTTCTATTAAGATCTTCTTGAATGAGAAGGTCTTCATAGAAACTCGTACGAAGGCTTCTCTTTTAAATACTCTGGTACCTGCTGGTATCGGAGTCGACTTTACAGCCCTTTCCCCAATTTTGAAGCTGGGGAAAGTTTTCAAGCAATGAAAGGGAAGCTCTCGCTATGAGGTGAAAATCTAGAATTTTTACCTCATAGCGAGTAATCCTTTGTTAATTTCTTGAAAACTTTCTTCAAATTATCAAAATTTCGAGGAAATTTTCCTTGCTTCAAAGTAGAGATGGAGCCCTTTGAGCCACTACATATAGGTCAGTGACTCAAAATACTCCATCTCTACTAGAAATCGCCAAAATTTGGGTCGCAATCTTTGAAATGCGACGCAAGTTTTGGCAATTTCGCGAGGGACTTGCTCCATTTGGTGCATAGATTCACACTTTATGGACCAGATGGAACAATTCTTTCGCAAACAGTGGGAAACTTTGTCTGAATAGTTTAACATTCAGACAAAGTTTCCCGCTATCAGGGAGGGAATTAGAGGGTGGGAGATATATAGATAGACTATAAATCTCTCACCCTTTAATTCCCTCAAGAAAGTTCAAAAACTTGGGTGCAATCAGTTCTGATTGCACCCAAGTTTTTGAATTTTGTATAAGGAATTGTTGGCTATGATGTACTGATCATGAATCAGTACATCATAGCCAACAATTCTACCTTTTAACCAAAGATAATTGATTCGTATGTAAAATATTAAGCTAAAATTTCTCTTTCTTTTAGTACACATTCTTCCATTTCGTGTACATGTATCATATATTAAGTACTAGTTATCTATTCTATATCCTTTATCCCAATTTAGATACTCAAAGATAATTCTTTTTCAGAAGAAAAAAAATATTTTCTATTAAACCGTTATTTTTTCAATGTGAGTTTTCAATTTTATTTTTCCTTTTTGCTGCTCAATGCAACATCCTCCACCCGATCCTCCATGCGAGGTTGATCAAGCCATAGGATATTTAGAATATTCTCGTTTTGTTATAGCTGCAGAGCTGCATGGTAACATAAGATTTGTCAAAGACCCACAAAAACTATCAATTGGAACAGGAGTATTAATCTACCACCGATGCGAATACGAAGGCTGCCCAGCAGGCTTTAAATTTATTAAAAATTTCGACAATTACATTTTTAAATCTGCAAACTTAACTCATATTCACTCAGGACCACCACCACAACATAAAAATACACCTACAAGTGGTACTTACCGTGCTTGGATTAAAAAATTTCTCATGAATCACGGAAGTCCACTTAATGCAACACAAGAAGTCAACAAAACGCTTGAAATACCTAAAGATCATACTTGTATTCACATGACTATGAAACAAACTGCAATCAATCAATTGAAATATTATTTACAACAAAAAGATCTTATGAGATCTTTACCAGACATATCTTTAAATCAATTTCAATCTTTACAAAACTATGTTAATCAATGGGAAGATCAACATGATGACCTTATTTATTTTGACATTCAAGGTGAAGATACTGATTTTCCAGACAAATTGGTTTTTATTTACTCTGATAATGATATGATCTCTCAAATTCATGAAAAACCACCAATTTATCACTTAGACTCTACGTTTAAATTAATTATTCATGGATTTCCTTTTTATGTATTAGCTACCAAATTTGCTAATACTCATTCTATCCCTTTGTGTTATTTTATAATATATCCAGATAATAGTGAAAATATTTCTTTTTGCTTAAGTAAATATTTTGAAACAACTCACACAGAACCTGAATTTATCATGTCTGACTGTGCACTAAACATTTTCAACGGGATTAGGAATTCATTTCCGGAGTGCAATATCTTTTGGTGCGTGCTACATGTAATACGCGCACTTAAAAAGAATCTCTCAAAGATAAATAATGAAGAGATTAGATCAGAAGTCGAAAAATTTATGAACATTTTATGTTATTATCGTGATTGCACAGAAGAAGATGCTGCAAAAATGTATAAAGAGCACATTATTGATAAAATTCAAGATCAATTGGAATTTAATCAATACTTTACACGTCAGTGGGACATTCATAAACAACAGTGGATAGCCGCTGCCAGACCAAATGAATTAACCGTTGTGAATAACGTTTCTGAATCTTTATTTAAAAAGATAAAATATCACGATTTTGGCTGCGTTAAAAATCAAAGAATTGATGTTTTTGTCAAAAATCTTTTAGAAGAAGTTGCACCCAATTACTTTTATCGTATTAAAAACGATTTACTTCAAACAGGTTTTATTCCTTCAATTAGAATTCGCGAGCCTCGATTGACAGATTATAAAACAAAATTGAAAAGAGAAGTTCAATCACGTTTATACCAAGTATTAAATTTTGTTCAGAATCAAGAAGCCAATTTGAATCCATTAAGATTTTTATTGGAAAATGCTGAAGAAAAACTTTCTCAAATAAATGAGAAGATACAAAATTCAATTACATATTTAAGATCGTTTGAAATTCCAAATGAATTGTTAGATACGTATATGTTGGAAATTAATGAATAAAAAAAAAAAAAAAAAAAAAGGTAGTGAGGCTTCCAGGCACTTCGTGCCTTCTAGCCCTGATGATGTTTAGTAATAAATGAAGTTTTTTATTCGGAAAATTGTTAGTCTTCTGGGTCGAAAACATTATATATAATGTGTCGCTTTTCACAAATTATATATGTTTTCATGTTTTGTCAAACATGAACGTACATGTTTTGTCAAGACTTCTTCGTAAATGTTTTGTCAAGACTTCTTCGTAAATGTTTTGTCAAACATGAACGTAAATGTTTTGTCAAGACTTCTTCGTAATGAGTGTAAATGACCAAAAATATAATTTAGGGTAGAAGGTTAGATCTAACCTCTTTTCTAACCTCTTTTCTACCCTCTTGAATTTGTCATGATTTCTTCGTAAATGTTTTGTCAAACATGAACGTACATGTTTTGTCAAGACTTCTTCGTAATGAGTGTAAATGACCAAAAATATAATTTAGGGTAGAAGGTGAGATCTCACCTGTTTTTTCACCTCTTTTTTCACCTCTTGAATTTTCATGACTTCTTCGTAAATGTTTTGTCATGATTTCATCGTACATGTTTTGTCAAGACTTCTTCATCGTAATGAGTGTAAAGGACCCAAAAATATAATTTAGGTGAAGAGGTGAGATCTCACCTGTTTTCTCACCTCTTTTCTACCCTCTTGAATTTTCATGATTTCTTCGTCATAGGCACGGAGATAGGACGGTTATTTTACAAAACTGACAACACTTTGACCGAGTAGTTTTTTGTGCTGAACAAATAGTGTCATATAAACATCTGTCAAAAACCGTTTTTTACTTCACTTAAAATGCCACGTAAGCTACGTAAGAATATACGTAAGAGGAAGAGAGCATTGAAACATCCAATAGTAAAACTGACACCACAACAACAGTTGCAACAACAAATGATGAATGACCCCACTATGTTGCAACAAATGTCAAGCAACCCTATGCTCTTAAACCGAGTTCTTGGTGCACAGAGTGGAGGTTTAAGAGCGGCACTTTTAGCGAAAATGGCAGGCTATGGTGGAGCTGCAGACGGAACAGCTTATAACCCTCAAAGTCAAATGAATTTGAGTTCACTCAAAAATCAAATAGCAGATGTCAAAAAGTCAAACATAGACATACAGAAACAAATAAGTGAAAACGAAAAGAAACTAGAATATGACAGACACACAAAGAAACTCAATGAGTTAAACGTAGAGAAAAAGAAGAAAGAAGAACAACTGAAAGAACTAAGTACAGAGGAATATGCGAAAAAAGTGTCAGAAAAAGCAGCAGAAGTAGCAAAAATGGAACAAGATGTTATAAATTTGAAAAACCCATACTACTCAATATAAAGTACTGAAAGATGAAGAGATAAAACAAAAAGCCCTGAAGACATATATGGATAGCGATGAGTATAAAAAAGAAGTTGAAGCAAATGTAAAGGCAGAAAAACTTTTACAGTTGCAAAACCAAACCGTACAGTATGAAAACTTAGCACAAGAAAGTAAAAATAACGACGCAGCCATGCAAAAGGCAATGAAAAGTGCAGAATATATAAAAGCTAATAATGACTGGTTAGATGCCCAAGCCAACGCCAAAGCAGCCCAACTTATAGGGTCAATAAGGACAAAAATACAAGCGGATGAAGACAGTTCAAATGAAGCTTTAATGAATGCTGACTTTAAGAACGCCTTCGAAGCTCTTCATAGTAAGGTGAAACTAGTGAACGACTTCTCATCTGGAAAGAAACTGAAGTCTGAAGGTTTCGACAACGAGTTAAGAGAAGTAGCACAAAATATGACGAAAATAACAGATACAGCAACGAGACAGGCAGTTCAAAGTGCCTATGACGCCGTTAGAGCAACTGTTGTGGAAAGTCAAGAAAAAGAGTTACAACAGACCAAAACAGACCTAGTAAATGCTTTCTTAAGAACGAAAAGTCAGGTAGGACATTATGCTGCAGATGGAACATATGTGCCAGCTGGTGGAACTTATATACCAGCTGGTGGAACTTATATACCACCAAACCCTCCAAGAGAAGCACCTGCACCAGGACTACCTAAAACATTTACATCGTCACATGGACACAGACACAGGCATGCACCAAAACCAACACAACAACCAACACAACAACCAACAGTTCAAAACACTGCACCACAACCAACAGTTCAAAACACTGCACCACAACCAACAGTTCAAAACACTGCACCACAACCAACAGTTCAAAACACTGCACCACAACCAACAGTTCAAAACACTGCACAGCAACAACCACAAACAGAGCAAGGACATAAAAGAAGTAGAGAACAAGGAAACCAAGAATTCTTAAAAATGCTTAAGGAAAATTATGGTTACCCAGATACTCTTGACTTTAGTGACAGATATAAAGAAGCTATTAGAAAGTTCAAGGAAGGAAATACTGACCCGAACCTATTTAGCTTTATGGCTCAGCACCAAATGGGATATAATTTCAAACCTGGAAAATACAAGCTCGCTAAGGGATATGATTTAATAGCATATCATCCAAATGACATGACTGAATTTACTCCGAGATATTTGGTGTCAGAGCTAAATGATAATTCAACTCTCTTCATGAAACGCGTAAAAAATAGAGACGGAACGAAAGAAGAAAGGTTTATGAGTCCGGATGACTTAGATAGGGAACTTGTTAAAAACGGTCTCGGAATATATGAAATGCCAGCAGATGAGGTACAAGAAACTCCACAGGAAGAAGTTCAGATACAACCAGACATGGAAGAAATAGTTCAGCAACAACAGCTAGAAGAGCCTGAAGGAAACAAACAAGTCCCTCCTTTGGAAACTAACTTCACAGAACTAGATGAAGATTTGGAACAGCCGAAAAATCTTGACCCTCAACAAGAGTATGCGGAGAATATGGAATCTTTCCAAGAGTCTAAGAAAAATTCAGCTGACATAGTAGAAGAATATCGAAAAATGTTCGCCGACATACAAAAGACTCCAACATCAGATGAAAATTTCAGCATAGAATGGAAAGAACTGAAAGAAAGTGTACGCAAATACAACAATCCTTTTTACTTACGACCATATAACGTTCAATCTTTGGCTGAACTCGGTGAAAATAAAAGGTTAAATTTCACCAAAACATATAGAAATGAAACATTGTTTAAAGTTCATTCAGAACCTAACCAATATGGAAACAAACCTACTTTTGTTTCTTGCAGACTATGGAACTACAATGAGATGGGGTCATAAAGCTAATCCGGATAGGTGGTTCATAAACTTACAACCACAATTCCAAGAAGTTGTAGACGCAATGGAAGTGAATGGTGAACCAGATATAGCTGGTATTTTCAGCGCGGCTTTAATGCCATTGAAAGATATGAAACATGCAGATATTTTGGACCAGTATGAAATGAACATGGCTGATGGAAATATAACACCTGACGTTCTAAACATTTATCTCAAAGAACTACACAGAACCATAAAGATGGTATATTTGGTGAAGAGTTTAGAAAGAAAGTTAGGGAGAGAAGGAAGAGAACCTATTGTACATGACCTTGCAAACGAAAGTTTGCAAAATGTCATAAAAACTTACTTTGCAGACAATGAACTGAGAAGGGATGAATATTTAAGAAAACTCAAATGGACAGTACCAAATGAAATGTTAGTATTGAAAAACATGTTCCTTGACAAAATAAAACCAACTACAGAAATAAATGACGCAAGACTGAAACATTGGGTAAAAGCTTTCCCATTCACAAAAGATATTATTGGTAACATGGAAAGAAAACCAGAATGGCTACAAAAACATATATTTGGAAACGAGCTTATTCCATATGGACAAGCTCTGTTTGAAGAGCTTGAACCGGAACTCAGGAAAGAGTCATGCAAACAATACGCGAAGACTCAAATACAAACTATGACAAAATCTTTCTAGGATATAGGTTACCTGAGATGGGCGACCAGAGCCCAAAGGCAAAAAGGACATGGGAAATTTACAACATACTAGGTGAACATGAGGCAAAGATGCAACAACTTGAAGCAGAGGGCAAGTTACCAAAAGCGACACCAAAGAAGAGTAGAACAAAGTGAAAGTAGTGAAGAAGTAACTTCATCTAGTGAAAGTAGTGGCAATGAAGGAAAAAGAAGAGTTAAAAACTCAGTCAGGAAGAAAGTAAAGCTTGGTACGAGTGGGTTCTATTATGATATATAAATCAACTATTCTATATTTTTACCCATATGAAATGTACGCCGCTCAGAATATAACGCCAACAGTTTTGGATGCCATGAACGGAAATGTTTCCGAATGGTATAACGAATGCGACAATGCCATTAGAAGGTCAGAAATAGTTCCTGGAACTTACGAATATACAACTGCTGTTTCTTATGGAAACGTAGGTGAGTTTGGAGAAGGTTCTTCAACAACAGTAGATATTGCTTGCGACAGGTTTCATATTATTTCTATTGACAACTCATTCTTATACGTGGAACAAGACATTGAAATAAAACCTTCTGCCAAGTTGTCTGACAAGAAAGGTTGCAATGGAATTTTCTATGTCGGATACCAATATGCTCCAGAAGTTTTCATGGGATATAAGATATATTCTAACTCTGACTTAGTTCAAACAGTAACATGGGCAAACTATGAATGGTTCGCTTTGAGAAACTCAGTACAACCACAAGCTAGAGAACAAACAGACCAGTATGCAAATATTGAAAAAATAAGAAGACTTGACCCTAACGTTCCAGGAGTTTATGTTAACCTTTCTGGTTCAGATGGAACTGCTGCCACTAAAGTAAAACTGAAACTTAGAGTTCCTTTGTCATCTTTCCTCATCTTCAGGTTTTTAAGATACTTGCCAAACTGGGCAGGAAAAATTTCTATCGAACTTACTCCAAGCAAAAATAACTTAGTCATTGCACCAACACAAGACCCATTCAGCATTACTGTAGCTGGAACTGGTGGAGCCAAGTTCTGTGACTTTTGCAAAGACAAAGTTGACTTAGACTTTGGTTTCTCAAACTTCAACAATGAAGTAAACTATTATTTCAATGCTGCTGGAACTGCTTGGGACCCAGTTAAGTTCACATGCGAAAAGTTTGAATGCAAGAGAATAGAAAGCAGACTTGCAGTCTATATGTTGGACCCAGATATTTCAAATGCTTTAGCTGCCAAATATATTGCAGTTCCACTTATGTTCCCTATACACCAAATATCTGTCAAAGACTTTGCAGGTGAAGTTGGAAACCAAAGTGCTGACCCGGTGCAAGAACAGATATTGCTTTAACAACTGCAATGAAACATGCAGATACTATGTTTGTACTGTTCAGACGAACTATAAATGACTATTCTTGTTTCTACAACCCCGGTATTAATATCATATAAACATAGATGGCAAATATTATCCAAGAGAAGAATATTCTACAGTTGAGGATATGAGGTCATACAACTTGACATTAGATGCTATGAACTTTAACAACAACTTCACAACAACCATTAACCCTGAAATGCAAAGTTCTATTATGCCATATGTGAAAGTATGGACTCATACAGGAGGTCAAAAAACTCAATATACAAATGGAGACCGTTCAAACTTTTGGCTTGGCATTCCATTTGCTGACTCAGAAGACTTTATGGGTGGTATTTCAACTGTTGGTACAGTTCAAATACAATATACTGGTGACAGAGACGGTCCAGATGAACTGAGAGCAAAGAAGTTTACAAAACCAATAGCACTTTTCACGGAAGATGCTCTTTTGAAGATTCGTTCGATGAAACCTGCTGGGGCTCCTCAGATTGGCATAACGACAGCTTCCATCGAGCAGATTTTGGCAGCAGGTCAGTAAGTTGTTCTTGAACTGACTTCTCTCCGTCAAATATTGACAGTACGCCAGTTTTGACATAATATTGTAAGATAAACTTACCTTTAGAAATATCTGTAAGTTTTGAAGTTATATTTTTGTCTGCTCAAGAACTTTCACCATTTCAGTTATACCAACTTTCTTTGCTTTATGGAAATATTTTGGTTCAGCAGATATTGCTATTCTATAACATTTACCATTGTTTGTATAAAGAACTATTCTGTCAATGTATTTGTATTGTTTGTGTGTGTAAACTTTGTTTTGCTTCAATTCGAAGAGATACTCGAATACGTCCATCTTTTTATTCTAAGTAAAATGTCATTTCCGAAAAATAGAAGCGTGAGTGTTTCAAAAGGTTTAATGGCGGTAGCAGATGTGAAGTTAAATTCACCAACTCAAACAAACAGTCAAAGTGTTGTTGTCAATGTCAAAGACAGAGATGTTGAAGTGGGGAAACCATACGAAGACAAAGATGGTATAACAATTGTTCCTGTAAAAGAACAACCAACATATCCTGAAGTTAGCAGAGACTTAAGTTCTGTTGCAGATATTCGAAACGACTACCAACAACTGAAAGACAAACTTCAAACTCAGGAGAAGATTTGTCAAGCTTTAGGTATAATGTTAAACTTGGTCGAACACAACCCTGTAAAAGTGAACTCATATGTCATTGCACCTCATGAAGTCTTGAAAGAACTATTGAAACTTTTGACAGAGGCAGACGATATAAACATCAAAGAAATAGAACCCGACATTAGTTGCTGTGGTGTTTCATATAATGTCATTGACAAGATATACGTTATGAAAGGAGGTGAAACGTTGAACTTAAAGTATAGTTTCCCAGACGTCATAAAAATATTTGACGACCACAACATTTCATTAAAATTTATTTGCTAAGTAAAAATGTCAAAACTTCTTGAAAGATGTTTGAAGAAAAATAATATAGACTTTATTTCATGTAAAGGACTTTACACACTTTTGAACGATATGAAAGACCCTGTTTTGTTTATTCGTGTAGACAAAGGAAAGTTCTATGTCTTTACAAAATATTTGAACTTCTTAGACAGAGAACTTCAAGAAACGCCATGTGAAAGTTTAGATGAAGTTCTTCTCCACTTTCAGAAAAACTTTTAAATATATATAAATGGCAGAAGACATAATGGTTTATACTATTACGACTAAAAACCCTGGTCATATAATTCTATAACAACAAACTTACAAAGTCCTCAAGGACGGTATTGTAAACTAACCTTAAACACAATGACGACTAAAGCCTGTTTTGCTCTTTTGACACCAGAAGACTTTATTGTTGTGAATGGTAAAAAATACTCCTTTGAAGATACTTACTCAGATATACCACCAACAGGTTTTGTTGACTTATTTAATACTTTAAGTACGGGTGTAACATGTGCTGCAACTAGAGCAGGTTTCATTATGTTTGGATGTCCGACTGAGTTTACTATAAACGATATGAGCTATAATACAAAACTTATTTCTGGTTTTTACTACCAACAGTTTCCTATAACAGGAAAAGGTGTCATACAAGGAATGTCTATTCCATTGACATTAAGCACACCAATCTTATATATTGTTTCAAACTTAGGTTCAAAGTGTTATTCGAATGTCGACAGAAACTATTATGACCAAAAGATACTTATGCGTATAAACAATACTTTCTCTGCTGGTTTGCCTATTGTTCATTCGAATGCAGAATTTTCAACCTTAGTGAACTCAAACACTTTGGCAAGTATAACGTTGACATTTAGTTGACGCAAACTTTGTTCCTGTAAAACTTTTATGTCCTATGTATTTGTCAATGACGGCAGAAAGTTTCGAATTGGAAGATGCAACTGGTGAAAGTATTGTATTACAAGAACAACTTCAACAACAAATAGCTCAAGAACAACAAATGCAACAAATGCAACAACAAAGTCAAGAATAAAAAAAATATTTTTTTTATTTTATAAAAATGTACAGAATAGATGTTTCAGATTTTTATGACTTCCAAGCATTCAGAAATATGTGTCCATTTAGAGACTATAACAAAGCAGTCGAGAATTTGAAACGTTTAGTCATTTATGTCGACTCTGCCCCAGAATGTTATGTTATGAAAGAATGGGATGTAGTCTTTAACAAACCTAAAGCGACAATAGTTTCAGAACAAGAATGTAGACAGAAACTTAAGAAAATAAAAGTCGTACAAGTTGGCATGAAGATGTTAGATGCTTGGGATATCTTATTGTCAAAGTTAGAAGATTTTTCAGTTCGAGGTATAAAGTTCTATACACCTTCTCCAAACTTCTATTCTATCTTCACTGGATATAAATATGAACAAGTAGAATGGAAAGAAAATGTTATAGAAGCTTGGTTAGACCATGTCAAAGAAATTATATGCAATGGAAACGAAAGAGTCTATGAGTATATCTTATGTTGGTTTGCAAACATCTTACAACATCCAAGTGCTAAAAATGAAACTGCTCTCATTATAATTGGAAAACAAGGAACTGGTAAGAACACATTCTTTACAGATATTTTGTGCAAACTGTTAGAGGGCTATTCGAACCCGAATATGACAAACTTAGAAAACATCTGTGGCAAGTTTAACTCCTCAATAGAGAATATGAAACTTATAGTTTGCAATGAACTTCAAAGTATAGATACAACAAAAGTTTTGAACTCAGATGCTTTTGAAGAGTCTTATAACAGACAAAGTTGGTGTTGTTGAAAGAAAATATAAAGACCAAAGAGTTTGTGGAAAATGTTGCAAACTTCATTATGGTTTCAAACAATACTGTTCCGATGAAGTTAGAAAGTTCTGACAGAAGATATGTAGTTGTCAGAACGTCAGAAGCTCATATGCAAGATACAGAATATTTTGACGCTTTGTCAGAATGTTGACATCTGACTTTTACAACCACTTGTTCTCATATTTCATGACATTAGATATTTCTAAGTTCAATCCAAGACAAATTCCAACATACCGAAGAGAGACAAACATGTTAGAAGCAAACAAGAGTGTATATGAACTGTTCATAGAAAACTGACTTTGAGTGTTTAGATGAAAGGTCACTTGTACGATTCGTATAAACAATATTGTCAAGAATATGGTTATTATGACAGCGTCTAAACGTACATTCTTGGCAAATGTCAAAAGTCTTTTAGACGTACAGAATGGTGATATACAAAGAAAAATTTTTCTTGAGTAAATTTTAAAAAAAATATTTTTTATCCGATAGAAAAGATGGCAAAATTCATCTCAGTAAACAAGTACATGTCAGGACTTAAAGAAGAACTAGACCCATTCACATATTTGAATGTTTACTTCTACCATTTTGAAAAGTCTTCATTCAGCAAAGTTTGGAACATCGAACCAGTTAAGTTTTGCTATTGTGACTAAAAATGGTGCGAAATTTGAAGACTTAGACATAGAAGGTTTGTTAGCAGTCAAAGAAAGTTTTGACAGAAGGTTCAAACCTTAAAGAAGGCAAAGCATACAAACTTGTTATACCTTATGAACCAAAGAAAGCAGACGACTATGAATATTATGAGTCTAAGATAGTTGAAGTTCAAGGTAAATTGGGTAAAAAGATTTTAGAGTCTAAGCCAGTGTTTACTCCTAAAGAGGAAGAGAACATTGGCATTGACCCAGAAATGTTCTAAAAATAAAATTTTATTTTTACATGTCAAATTTCTTTTTCTCTGGAACTGGTTCAGGTTCTTTCTTCTCTTCTACTTTCTTCTCTTCTTCTACTTTCTTCTCTTTCTTTTCTTTCTTTTCTCTCTTCTTCTTTTCTGGTGGAGTTATGTCAAATTTCTCAGAACCATATTTATGTAAAAGTTCTTTGTCCTTTAATAGCTCATCTATTCTGTTTTCTATTTCATCTTCAAGAACAGCGCATGTGTCTTCTTTGCATTCTAAGAACTTTTGTTGGACTTCATCTTTCCAATCGGCATCATCTCTGTCAACAAGTCTGTCATTGACAAATTTTAAGACTGCTCTTTGTAATGTTTTATGGTTCTTGTCATATTCCCAGAAACAGAACTTTAGAACAAATTCACCTTTCTTGTTTACACTATGTAAGATTTTATGGTCGACAGATGTTTTGCTGTCAAAAAGCTTGTCTCGAATATAGATAGCGAAATCGCTAGACATTTTCTAAAAGATAAAAATTTTAATTTTTCTAAAAATATGTTAGAAAAAAAGTTTGCTGACATTGACAAGAAATTTGAGAATGTTTTAAACAAGAACAAGAGGAAGTTAGAAAATGCTCAGATAAAACCCATACATGACAAGTTCTTATTTGCTCAGAATGGTATAACAGGTCTAATTGCACCACCTGGGTCGGGTAAGACTTTCACTTATCTTAAAATGGCTGCACAACAACAAGAACTAGATGAGAAGAACCCATTCTATGAGTTAGTTGTTATTTGTAGTACTTCTGGTCAATTTGACCAAACCGTCAATTCGTTCAAAGATATTATAAAGAAGTCTAAGTTAGTATGTATAAAGGATACTGAGTTGTTAGATTGGATAAAGAAGTACCAAAGAAGGGTTTTGAAGTACAATGCTATAAATGAGTATATAAATTCTAAGTTTAAAGACCCAAATGAGGAAATGCAGAGAATATTAGAGAAGAAACACTTCAGAAACAAACAGAAAGAGATAGAATACATTTCGAAGAAATTGCAATCGTACGATTGGAAGACATACCCTCATAGATGTCTTCTTATCTTAGATGATTTCGCCTCTCATCCTTTGTTAAAGAACAGAGAACAAGATATGTGTCGAATTCTTAAGAAGCTCAGACACTTTAACATCTCAGTTGTCATTTGTGTACAGACAGCAAAGAGTTTAAGTAAGGATGTAAAGAGAATACTGACTGACATTGTACTTTTCCCCGGATTGTCCGAAGACGATTTCATGGAACTTATGAAAGAGTCCATGGCAGGTAAGTTTGACAGACATGAACTATGGAGAAGTACAAAGTCATACAAGACCCTCATACTTCTTTCAGAATTCATATCTACGCAAACAAAGTTCAAATTGTAAAAAGTCAAGCTTGAAAAATCTAAGTGTTTAGTCTTAGTAAGTCTGTTGTGGTGCTGGGGCTGTCGGTTCTTCTGGCTTTGGAAGGCATTCAGGAAGAGGAACGTCAGTCATCCGTTTGTGTCCTGTCGGAAGGAAGAACTTTTCCTGTCGGAAGGAAAAATTTTTTCTGTTGGAAGGAAAAACTTTTCCTGAAGTTCGACCAAAAAGTTCTCAATTTTCGAAAATTTGAATGGTTTACGGACGGACAACTGGAAAATTTTTTCTTGTCGGATGGAAAATTTTTTCCTGTTGGAAGGAAGAACTTTTCCAGTTGTCGGGAAAATATTTTTCTGTTGGAAGGAAGGACTCGGAATGCAAGAAAGACTTGACGAGGCAATTTACCTAATTGAGCTACTTGAGCCATCTGAAGTCAAGCTTGAAAAATAAAGAGTGCAATTTACTCTACTTGTTTGAAGTTGTCAAAATACTCTGTTATTTTTTCCTTTAACAATGGCAAATCTTCTTTGAAGGTAAGTATTGTACAACCTTTAATATCATAGTGTGTTTGAGGTAACGTATCTTGAACTATTTGTTTCACATCTTCATTTGGGGTCATTGAAATCGGTAAGTTTTCGCGATAGAACCAATTTCTGTCAGATTTGTAAATCTTAGCAAGGTCGTAAAAGCTTTTGTTGTTTCTTCTGACTAAATGCAACATAACCATATCTTTATCTTCTTCATTTTCCATCTCTTCAGTATAAATCATATACTTATAGTTCTTTTCCTTTCCTTTTGGTACCGAACGTGGTATTCTTTTCTGAATGCTTTTGTCTTTTGCTTCAAGCTTGTTCTCTAGCTCTTCACGTTCTTGTCTGTGAATTTCGTCAAGAAGTTTACAAACATACCAAGCATAACGAGGCGAAGCCCACATTGCAACAGCATTTACAAGAAGTCTATGTACATAATATCCTCTCAAACCGTTTGGCAATTTTTCACGATTTTCGTACGGAATCTCTACCCTCGGTTTTCCGAGGGTAGCAAACATATGAGGAAATTCTTCTAAAAGTTCTTTTGTCTGTTGGTTTTCAAACCAATGATATGCTTGCTTTGTAGAACGAAGAGCGTTCAAAATACTTTGCATTTGGTACATATCGTCTTTGACTGAACGAATGAGACGGAGTTGTTTGTTAAACTGTATGTACTCGTATTCTTCATTTATAGCTTCATGGACTATAACTGTTGTTGTGTTCTCTGTTGTTGACATATCTGTCTTTACATACAAAATAAAAAAATAAATAAAAATAAAACTAACTTTATTTTTTCTATCTTAAGGAAATTCATGATTTTCATGAGTTTTATGCAAGACCGAAAAAAGTCTGTCTAGAGAAATTTCACTGTTTTCATAGAGTTTTATGCAAGACCGAAAAAAGTCTGTCTAGAGAAATTTCACTGTTTTCATAGAGTTTTAGGCGACTAAGGTTTCTTACGTACTCGCTGTTCTTCACTGTTTTTCGTACGGAATCTCTTCTCTCGGTTTTTCCGAGGAAAGCAATCTTATGCCATTTTACTCAGATTTTTGTGCTGAATTCAGCAAAAATATATTTTAGGGTAGAAGGTTAGATCTAACCTGTTTTCTAACCTGTTTTCTAACCTGTTTTTTTCACAAGCGTTTTACATGGTAAACGTTATTTTTACATGTATTTTTCAGCAACTTCGTCAAATAATTTTATAGCTTTATCTATCTCATCTACTTCAAACGTTTCTTTACCTTTTATGGGAGCACCATACATTTTCTCAAACTTTTCAAGTAGTTCTGTTTCAGCAGCTCTCATATCGTTAACGAACACAACCTTGACTCTATTGACTGTACTGTCATATCTTTGAGTTATATTATATGTTCTTCCTATCTTATATCTCTTTGTATTGAAGTCCTTCGGTTTCTGAACGATGTAAAGTAAGCCTTCACTGCAACGTTCCGTATCGAATGAACCATATGTTATGAAGTTATATCCAACAACTGGGTCTAACCATAACAAAACTATTGGTATAAGACTTTTGTCAATGAGATATGCTGCAGTTCCATAGAATCTTACCGATATCATAAGCTCAGGATTTCTTGTCAAAATTTTCTGACTAGAAGCAATTCTAACCCAGTCCTTTGTTTTCTTTCCAAATGGAGATATAATGTCTGACAAAGAATATTTGTTGTATTTCTTTGAGTATCTTACGTTTAAATCACCTATTCTAACCAATTTGGTGTCATTGTCTATCTTTTTAACTGTTTCAAACTCATTGTTTGTCATATATGTTCTTACATACAAAATAAAAAAATAAATAAAAATAAAACTAACTTTATTTTTTCTGTCTTGTATAAAAGATATGATTTCAGGGATTTTTTTGACGAAGTGTCAAAGTTCTCTTCGTAAAAAAATAACAGTTATATAATGAAATTTGGTCATTTTTTCACGATTTTCATGAGTTTTAGGCGAGTAAGATTTTCTATCTTGTATAAAAGATATGATTTCAGGGATTTTTTTGACGAAGTGTCAAAGTTCTCTTCGTAAAAAAATAACAGTTATATAATGAAATTTGGTCATTTTTTTACGATTTTCATGAGTTTTAGGCGACCAGGTTTTTTTCCCTACTCGCAATTTTTTACGATTTTCGTACGGAATCTCTACCCTCTTTTCTAACCTCTTGAATTTTCATGATTTCTTCGTAAATGTTTTGTCAAGACTTCTTCGTATATGTTTTGTCAAGACTTCTTCGTATATGTTTTGTCAAGACTTCTTCATCGTAATGAGCGTAAATCAGACAAAAATATATTTTAGGGTAGATGGTTAGATCTAACCTCATTTCTACCCTCTTTTCTACCCCAGTTATTTTATAAGCGTTTTACATGGTAAACGTTATTTTTTAAATTTTGTGAAAACTCAACGGTTTGACACATGCCCTAAAAATTATTTTACTCAGAATTTTGGTCATTTTTCAGCAAAAATATATTTTAGGGTAGAAGGTTAGATCTAACCTCTTTTCTAACCTGTTTTCTACCCCAGTTATTTTATAAGCGTTTTACATGGTAAACGTTATGAATTCGTGAGACTCTAAACAGTTTTGTAGCTTCTATTTCTTCGCTGAGGATATCGAATGTTTTAACTATGCCGAAAGTTTCTTTATACTTCTTCTTGACGTCAGATAATAGGAAATCGTCAGCAGTTGGATAGTTTTTGTTCAGAAATTCTAACATGTCCATTTTATTTTCTACCGGCTTCTCTGCCTCCCTCTTTAAGTCTGCATAGTCGTTTCTCATTCTTTCTATCTCTTTGACGGAGTAGTTATATTTCCTAATTGCTGCTTTACATTTAGAACATTGCGGGTTCATTTTTGCGTTATATTCTGAAACCTTACCTGCTAAAACAACCAAGGCGTCAATGGTTTTCTTTAACTCAAAAGTTGCTGGTTTTATCTGTTCATTCCATACTTTGCCTCTTCTATCTTTATCTCTTATCTGCCATACACATTCAGCAACTAACGAAACAAAGTTGTCGTAGGTCTTAAATTCTTCAGATTTATATATGTCAGAGATGTTCTTATATAACATGTCGCAATCTTTGTCCATAACTTTATGGTTGCAATGAAATCCTAGAAACTCATAGTTTACCTTTCGTATGAACTTCTTTATTTCTACTGAGTCAGTTGCTTTGACTTCTATTTCGTCGAATTCAGGAATAGTTAGTTTTTGTTGCTGGATTTCAGGTAGTTTAGGCAAATGGTCAATAATGTCCTGCATTTCATAAAGATACTGTTCATTTGTTTCATCTTTCGCACTACAGTCTAAATTACTTGTTAAAAGTTCTTGCTTTATCTTCTGGATTTTTGTTTCGAAAGTATATGAAGAAGGAATGAAGCTTTTCATCTCTACTAACATAGATGTTGGATTCATGACTAAAGAGTTTGGTGCTGTTGTTGTTTGAAGTGTTGTTGTGCCGATTGTTGAAATCATATCTTTTATACAAAATAAAAAAATAAATAAAAATAAAACTAACTTTATTTTTTATTTCGGGAAAATTCATGAAAATTCAAGAGGTGAAAAAAGAGGTGAAAAAAGAGGTGAAAAAACAGGTGAGATCTCACCTCTTCACCTAAACTTTATTTTTGGGTCCTTTACACTCATTACGAAGAAGTCTTGACAAAACATTTACGAAGAAGTCATGACAAATTCAAGAGGTTAGAAAAGAGGTTAGATCTAACCTTCTACCCTAAATTATATTTTTGGGTCCTTTACGAAGAAGTCTTGACAAAACATTTACGAAGAAGTCATGACAAATTCAAGAGGTTAGAAAAGAGGTTAGATCTAACCTTCTACCCTAAATTATATTTTTGGGTCCTTTACGAAGAAGTCTTGACAAAACATTTACGAAGAAGTCATGACAAATTCAAGAGGTTAGAAAAGAGGTTAGATCTAACCTTCTACCCTAAATTATATTTTTGGTCCGGGAACAAAATGAACGAGGTCAGGATGTATGTAAATACCTTTGAATTCATTCATAACACCCTTAGTAAGCTCATAAAATGCTTGTTTTGAGGTCGAGCCACTTTTGGCTCCACCGTATTCTTTCAACCAAAACTCAAGAATTTCCTGCATGAATTTTATATAAAAACCAACCGTCTGAATTCAGACTGTTGCTATATTCTTGACAAAACATTTACGAAGAAGTTTTGACAAATTCAAGAGGTGAAAAAAGAGGTGAGAAAACAGGTGAGATCTCACCTCTTCACCTAAAAGTATTTTTCAATACTTTTTCAGCACTTTTCCGTAGTTATATATGAAAGACAATTCGAGATAAAAGTCATAGTACAATGGAATAATATGTTGCACACCATTTGTTGTGAACCAAACTTGAAAGTCAGAGAAACTGTTACTAGGTGGTTCGTAGAATTTAGAAGCAAAGTCATAAAAGTCCTTACCAATACATAGAAAACTATTGTTGCTTGAACTGAAACTTGCATGACACATAACATTTTGAGGGTCAAACACGTTTCTATAAACTGTCAAATCTGCTGGTGGAAGTATAAATTTAAATGGACCATCTGGTGGTAATGGTTCGTTCTGGTTTAGTAACCGAAGAAATTGTGCCCAAGAACGTTTGTCTACTTCCCAAATTAAAAACTCTGTATCTCTTGGAGGGTTAATTTCAATCTTTTGAAATGAAACGGTGGAGTTCATCTTGTCATATTCTAGTTTCAGATAGTATGTTCCATTTAGTAAAGAGTCGTATTTTTCTTGAAATTCCCAATAATATTTGTTCATTTGAGTTTGAAAGTCATTTAGAGTTTTCTCAAGACTTTCGTCTGAACGAACTGTAAAGATTCTCATTTCAACAATTTGTCTATTAGACCACCAGAACCTTTATACTGCCCATGAAAATATACTGCGAACATAAATGCGTTAGTTCTATTTGAAAACAAAACTCTTCTAAATCCTATTGCCTTTGCATCTGAAGGACTTTGAAGCCAACGAATTGGATAGTCAAACCTGTATATTCGGGATGAAATTTCTTCATCTGAAATAGTCCTACCAGCATTTGTAAAGATATAGTCTAACGGTTTTGTATCTGCTACTTTTGTTCTTTGTTTTTCAACCTGAAGCATTTAATATATGTAAAAATATATTGTTTTAAAATGGTATGCCATATAGCTTCTTGAATTTGTTAAGAAGTATTTGAACGTTTTTTCCATCTGTATCTCTAGTGTTTACATAAGCATAGCCCGCCTTAGTAAAATATACTTGTAATTTCCTATAGTTTACGCCGGTATAAAAGTAGAAAGAGTCTTGTTCTTCGCTATAGTAGTAAAACTCAAACGTATGCTTGCCATAGTCTGTAATTTCAATTGTTTCATCTTCTAGTTCGTCGACAAATTCGAATACAATATCTCCAAATTTGCCTTTGTTCTTATTGTTTTCAGAACAAGTGACCCAACGTAAGTTTTCAAGTCTATTGTCGTTTCTTATACGGTTTATATGGTCTACAAAAGGTAAATTGTTAGGATTCAGTATAAAATGAGTTGCAATGACAACATGTTTAAAATAGTGTTTTCCACCCATCTTCATAATAGCATATCCGTTATTTCGCTCCCATTCGCTTAAAACTCTTTTTGTCTTTTTGTTTCTGACTTCAAATGACTGACAACAGTGAATTTCATATTTCTCATCTAACAAACAAGTTTCCCAACGGTCTTCTCCAACAAACTCAGCGTACATTTCAAATAAAATTAAAAAATGTCACTTTTTTAAAATAAATTTTTTATTTCATGCAATGTTTAACACATCGAAAGGCATGTCCATAAGACGTTCTTCTTCTAACCTCTCTAGTCTGTTTGGATAATTTGCACGTGCTGTTTCCAAATCCATTTCGTAGCGAAGACCAGCCAGTTTGTCATAGACTTTTATGGGTCTTCCCTTCCTATATTTAAAATTCTTCGAAACTCTCCAACCATATCTTTGTAACTCTGCTTTTATTCTAGCAGATTTTCTATCCATTCTATATGGGGGCATTTTTATAAAAATAAAAAAATATTTTTTTTCTTTACTTTACATAACCGCCTGCTGCCATAAGTCTTTGACGCCAACCCATACCAGCTAATGAAGGTTGACTTGTTTAGTTTGGAAACTAAACTTTGGTTTTGGTTTATCTTCAGTTTTTGGTTTTTCTTCTTCTATCGGTTTTTCGTCACTTTTCGGTTCCTCTGATTTTTCCCCACCTGCAGGAACAGTTGTGTCGTCAACATCTTCATAAATATCATATGCCATTTGTTTTTGTTTTCCTTTCAACTTTTTGTGTTTGTTGTAAAGTTTAGAATATTTCGACTCTAAGTCAATGAGATGTTCTATAATGAACTGTTGGTCAGTGAAGTAAACTTTTCCATCTGTTGTCTCGAAAGCTCCTTCAGACTTCAATATTTTATTTGTGAGAGTCTGTTTCTTTTTGAGATACTAGCCGTTCCATTTCTATGAAAAGTGACTTTATAGTTAGGGTTTGTATTTCCAGACCTGGCACTTTCTATTATTGAATTTTTCTCTTCATCTGTAAGTTCTTTGACAGGTTTTGACAATGGTTCTGAACTTTTTGTTTGTGGTGTCAAATCTACCGTTTCAACTTCTTCGGTCATTTCATCTCAGTAAAAAATTTTAGTTTGGTTTGTTTTCAACTGGTTGTTGTTGTTTTTTAAGTCGGTCTAAAACTTCCTGAGGTATAGGAAGAACTGACAAACACGTTGTGTAACTGCTGGAAGTCGACAAATC